TAACATGCTGGTTAGTTGTTTCATCTCTCTCTCAGGTTTCCCCAAGGTCCAGGAACATGATAACAATGAGGCTAACACCAGCAAAACCAGGTGGATGCGGCTCGTCGTTCTGTGTCGCGGCAATATATATTGATCACTCCAAATGCAATTGAAGGACGAGCCAGGCTTGATAAGGACGTCAAAATTATTCGGTACGTTTTTTCACTTCAGCTGCGAAATGAGGACCATAAATGCTAACAATAGCATCAAAGGTTGACGGATCCCCGACAGCGCACGCTGGTTTAACTGAGCTGTTCAATTGTCCTTGACGTTTATTGATGCACTGTCTGCCGGGACAGCCAACAGACCATGAGATCCCACCGCAAGTCCTGAGAAGGGGATAGAAAAAGCTGCAATAGGGGCATGATGATGGCCGCGTAATATAGCAGTTCTTCGGTGTATGTTATACAAGACTCATAATGGCCTAAATATAATACAAAAGTAGATCCCATTGGGAAGACGAATGTTTTGTACATTATACTCTCATGCCTTTACTTCTCAAGACGTTCACACCTGCATTCATTGTGAAGCTACCCCAAGCACCGAGAGTTCCGACAAATCCTCCCACTGTAGTCACTTCTTCTAGCCTTCTATCCAAAAATTTGCGTGTATCAACAAAGCCCGGCGACTTGTCATTTGTCATGAATAGCTCGCTCGTGCTATATACGATAGAAAGTGATGCCCTTTTGGTGTACCAGGAAGAGTCTACTGCTTTGTCACCAGCTAGATACCACATCTCATCCGAGAGCATGGCGAGTTCCTTCAGAGAGGCTGGGACGTAGCTCGGCTGGGCCATTATGGCGAGTGCCTTGCAATAATGGTGTCAGCCTAGGCATAGAGACCGCAAGAAGAAAAATTGCGAAGCAAACAGTGTGTCAAAGTAGGGAAAGAGAATCATACCTCTTGCCACCTGTGAATAATGTCCTTGTTTGCCATCAGTCTGGCCCACGCCAATGTAGCTATCTTGAATCCAATGCCGCTGCCCGAAACGTTTGTGTTGCTTGTATCAAACAACTCCCTGCTTTTTTCTGCAAGGGCCAGGCGCTGACGGACGAGGTGGAATTGTATTAGGCTGAACACGCCGTCCGACAAGGCGCTGGGGCTGATGTCGAGATAACCAGCATCGCGCGCTCCGAGGCCCAAGGCACTGTGAGAGAAGCCGTGTTCCGGTACATGCTGATAGGCCGCGGAAAGAATGGCATTTTCCACGTCACCAAACGACTTCGCTGACGGAGGATGCTCGTATGAGTGGAAGCTCGCTCGGGTAAGGCAGGTGTATCGAGGAATCACTAGTTGTGCAATCGGAAGCAAGGTCGGTCGCGTCGGTGATGCCCGCATCATTGGCATAGATTTTGCATAGGAGGGTGCCAAAGATAAAGATATAAATTAAAAGTCAAAGTGGGAAAAGAAGAAAAGAGTTAAATATCGGGGAGAAGACAGGCAACGTATTCGCGGTTCTGCTGTGCGCTATGATCTCAGAAATTTGTTTGATGGCATGTGGCAGTCGTAGATCGGCCTAGTCTCGATAGCAAAATTGTTCCCGACCATAGAGACCCCGGCGCTGGTGGTGGGAGTGGGTTGTAAACACTCGAGTGCCAGTTCTCATGCCGTGCCTTTCTTTAAACAACCTGGCAAGACAATACTCGTTTCGAGCCAAAAGGCGAAGGTGTCTAATAAGACAGTCGGATTTGTGTTTCACTTTGTTCGACTCATACACTGTCTTCCCAGAGCTCACACAGTGGTAAGTCTTACTTGAAAGAAAATAAAATGGGAATCCCCTTGGCTCGCAATAGTGCTTGGATCCAGTACATGTAGGCATTTATCTACCTAGTACCTAGTAGGTAGCTCTCTGGTCCGCAACATGGACCGATTTCTATTGCCGCCAACTGTCTAATGGGCTGATCAGCATCTCTCTGCATTGGCAGATAGTAGGGTAGGTAGGTAGAGTTATTATATGTCCCGTACTTCCCATGGCTAGCGAAGCAGCACGAAGTCTCAGAGGAGAATTAATTCAATACTATGTATTCTCGACGTGTTCTTTCTGGAGCAAGCCTCGGCATCTTCATTATTCTTACGTTTCTGTAGCACCGAAGTACAATGCTACAAGAACGCTCGATAAAACCTTTACGCGGGATTGAGATACTCGGTGGAGTCGTGCACCTCTTTGTCCCAATACTCAGCGATTGATTCCCACAATCACCACAGCCCCTGCCTCCAGAGTACTGGGGGCTGAAAAGGGTTTCGCTTTCGTGTCGAAAGTCCCCACCGGTGCGATATGTCGAGCACACATGCACCAGCGGCGTTGTTGCTACACTGCCAGTTGACCAAAGCGCGGCTGAGCCGTGGCTGCGAGTGCCCCCAATGCCATCCCATCGTTATGGCATGTTGAAGGTGAGTCTGGCACACCATACGGAGCAATGAGGGATGGTTTGCCACCATCACAAATGTCCGGGTACATTGTGATGCAGGTGTTCAAATAGCGGCCTGGGCTGCCCGAGCTAGAGTCAAGATCTCTCTCTTCCTGCAGCAGGCAAGACATGGCCAGAAAGCTGTTGTATTGATTGCGTAGAATAGCACTGCGTCTTGCGAACGGATAATGCATGTTGCCCTAGACGAAGTACCTACCTACCTACCTACCTACCTACCTATTTTTTTCTCCATCACACATGTCAAGTAGTTACCCGTCAGCGACTAAGTGGACGAGAAGTGAGAACAAGTAATAGCCCCAGCCCCCGTGCCTTTAAATTTCCGCTGCAGCGTTTACCCGCCGCATCAACTTGGGCGTTATACGGAGTATTGTACGGAGTACCAACCATTAAAAGCACTGGGTATTAGGTATTGTACCTACTACATACATGCCCACTAGGTACCTACTTATAGGTATGTACCCGGTACTAGAGGTACTTAATTACGAGGTTGGCCAGAGCAGACCAGGCTCTTCTTGTCTCGAGATGGTCTTGTTCCTGGCTTCCCCCCCGTAGCGCTCTAGGCTCAAGACTCCACCACCACCTTGATATCCCAGCCTGCTCTCATCTCTCATCAACTGCACTCGCTCGCTCAGCAGGGCCTGCAAGTCTCAACCACGCACTGTCTCCCGCCGGCAGCACTCTTCTCGACGACGGCTTTGAAAGCTGATGCAGCAACACTGAACGTGCATTTATTTCCGACCGGACCGGTAAGCGGTAAGCGGTAAGCCCAGCCCCATTGCCTCCCTTGGAAACTCGCACCAGGCTTGAGCGGCTTGCCCATCCATTCAATCGCTCGCTCCCTGTTCCAACTCCTGCACCCAACCAGCGACGAGACTTGACAAAATTCCTCATCCAGACCCTGCGCTATCCCTCCTTTCCTTTCCAATCCTTTTTCTTGCTTGCCCAAGTGGATTGATTCCAGGCCAAGCTTTGTACTTCGTACCTGAGGTAGGGTAGCTTGCAGCTTGACCCCCTTGTCGTCTTGCTCCTTTGCAATCCCATTCGCTGCCTGATTCCCCCCTCGTTGGAGCTGGAGGCGCGTCTTTTCTTTCTCGCCAACTTGCTCTGGCACTTCTGGGAAGCTTTACCCCATCGTCCTCCCACCCCCCTTCAACCGTCGCGCCACCACCATCCCGATTCCGACTTTGCTGCATCCATCTTGCATTTATGCGCGACTCTGTTGTTTGCTGACTGTAGTGTCTTCTCCTCACCACAGTTGCTCGTCCGTCTTTCGTCATATTCCCGCTCAGTGTCCGCAACCGCAACCAGGCTTGACCTACCCTCCCTCTGTTGAGACACCCGCTCGCCTTTCACCGAGCTTTGGGCACAGAGCCTCGTTGTTCACAACGCTTAGACTTTTGTCATGGGTATGTCCTCCCCTCTGCCACACATTTGCATCTGCCCGCACCTCTCCTACCCCGTCCACGCCGTTCAAGCTGTCCTCGCTGTCCACGACCTTCCACGGCCACCAGATATTTCCTGGCTATATCGTTGGTTGTCTACACACACACGAGCAAATTGTTACGAATTGTCACGTATTTGCTCGACGTCTCTTCCTGCCATACGAGGCCTTCAGCCTTGTTGCCGATCGGCTGTAAACGGCACGCCTTACACACATATCACTATCACGCATCACAGTTGATGTAATTTCTTCTTGCCTACTGTAACGCGTTCACTGTCATCCACACCAAGATACACACCGGCACAAACAACCTTCTGGTCTGCTGGCCCTTCCCCGTACACTGCATTATCACAAGCCCGCTTACCTGCATGTTTCCGGTCCTGCCTACTTCCCTGCCAGAACGTATTCTCTCTGGTACACACCCCACACTCTTCTTCCAAACTACTCTTGTGTTTGTTTGGATCTCAATTCCTGGCTATCGTCTTGTCTCCGTCACATCTTCCTCAAGAATACTGTCCACTGGAATATCTAACCCTCTCGCATAGCTGATTCAGGCGATACCTATCGACCAGTAAGTGACTTTTTGGCTTTCCCGTCCATTTCTTTGTTTTTGCTTTTACCCCTCAACTGTATGCTTTTGCAACTATTTGGCCCCTTCTTCTCTGGACTTGCCGCCACCAAATGCCGCTCCATGCAGAACTCAGCGCAGTGTCTCCTCTTCGGGCGTCCTTGGTAGCGCCGGCAAGACTTCAAGAGGTCGTTTACGCAGTGCCGGTATCTTTTGGGGCTGGAAAAGCACTCTCCTCCCCATGTTCAAGCCCATGGTTCAATACACATTGCTACGTGGCTCACTTGCTCGCACATAAAATCTTGCTATAGCCTTCATTCAATCGCCCTCCCCAATCCACCCATCCATCATACATCCATCTGTTCATTGCAGCCTTCGTACTAACTGGCAAAAGCGAGAGAGGTCCCGATCGCCCCGCCGACGCTCCAGAAGCTCGGGTCGACAATCACGCAGGCGCTCATTCTCGCCTCGTAGCAGGTCGAATAGTAGGGACGATTATCGTCGTGGCCGTGATCGCTCGCCCATGACTGGAACAGGTGCCCCTAGCGGAGGATCCAGCGCAGGTTACGGCGGACAAGCACCGCATCGATCTTATGAAGAGCGAGCCGCGGCAAGGGAACAAATGATGAACAACATTCGGGAAACTTCACAGCAAGACCGCCGTGTCTATGTCGGCAATCTTTCCTATGATGTGAAATGGCATCATCTAAAAGATTTTATGAGACAGGGTACGTCGACCACGACTATGATGCAGGCGCAGGACATCTAACGGTCTTGTTTTTTCTATAGCCGGAGAGGTGCTCTTCGCTGATGTGCTCCTTCTCCCTAATGGAATGTCGAAGGTGGGCTTTATCACATAGTTTTTGGCTGGTTTCTTTTCTTTTCTTTTCTCACTCCCTTCTCCGTTTCTCCTCCTATTTGGCACACTCCCTTTCGCTGGCTCTTGATGGATGGCTGGGTTGACGGGTTCGGACGATGTCCTGGATGATTGTAGGGATGCGGGTACGTATTCTACGCCGGCATTGTGGACCTGCTTGGGATGACGAAAAAAGGCTCACCGTTTGTCATAGAATTGTGGAATATGCAACGAGAGAACAGGCTCAGCAAGCCGTTGCTCAACTTAGCAACCAGAACTTGATGGGACGCCTAGTTTACGTTCGAGAGGTAAGTCTCTTTTATACCTAAGTCAGCGTAACTCGACTAATCTTCATCAAGGATCGTGAAGCTGAGCCACGATTTATTGGTGCCACCGGAGGCAACCGCGGTGGGTTTAGTGGGGGGATGTCAGGCGGCTTCAACAACCAAGGCGGTTATGGTGGTCCTCCTGGCGCAGGTGGCCGACAGATCTACGTAGCTAATGTTTGTTCCTCATATAATGATGATAAGGAAAGTGTTGCGTTGCCAGACTAACTCTTGGCAGCTTCCATTCAACATCGGGTGGCAGGATCTGAAAGATCTTTTCCGACAAGCAGGTGAGTTAAGAATTGGACACTATGCTCAGTGGTGAAACTCCTCTAACATGTATTACCCGTTAGCTCGTGTGGGTGGTGTAATTCGCGCCGATGTCCACATCGGCCCTGATGGCCGTCCCAAAGGTTCTGGTATTGTTGTGTTTGAGAATCCCGACGATGCTCGGAATGCTATTCAGCAATTCAACGGGTATGACTGGCAAGGACGAATGCTCGAAGTCCGTGAAGACCGATACGCCGGTTCTAGCGGTATGGGCTTTTCGGGACGTGGCGGTTACGGGGGCGGTATGAGAGGCGGGTTCGGCGGCGGATTCGGGCGTGGAGGTTATGGCGGCGGTCGTGGAGGTTTCGGATTTGGCGGTCGTGGAGGCTTCTCTGGTGGTGGTGCGAACTTCGATGCCTCAACCGCCACTGCTGTCGCCCCGAATCCATTCACAGATGGTGCTACTGCTGGAACTGAGAAGAGCGAGACAATCTACGTCCGAAATGTGAGTCGGCAACGAACCATGAAAAACCAAGCAGGAATCCCAGAGCTGACTTGTCACTAGCTTCCATGGTCCACGAGCAACGACGATTTGGTTGACTTGTTCACCACAATTGGTAAGGTGGAACAGGCTGAAATACAATATGAACCTAGTGGCCGGTCTAGAGGTACAGGTGTCGTCCGTTTCGATACTGCAGATACTGCAGAAACTGCGATTGCCAAGTTCCAAGGTTACCAATACGGCGGTCGTCCTCTCAATCTGAGCTTTGTCAAGTACCTTAATCAGCCTAGTGGCGAGAGCATGGAGACAGACACGCATGGTGGCTTGACACAAGACCAGATCATGTAGGCAAGGACGATTGACGATTGGTGCGGATATCTCGGTAAGGTTTTCAATTGGCCATGGTCCGGAAATAGACCGTGGATTACACCTTCGCAAGTGGATTTGCACTGCGAATTACTAGAGAACTTCACCTCGGTATTCTACCACACGTCTATCGTCTTTCCCTTGATTTTTTCCTATCTTTTTCTTTTTTTGGGGTCAATCTTTCCGCAAATTGATAATTTGAAAAGTTGGATGAAGTATAGTCCATGCTGCGTGGAAATTGGTGGCTCTCCTCTGAATGAGTTGAGATTAGTGAGCAGTGTCGTTACAGTTACATTTCCACGCCGGATGGTGTTGATGCTAGTACGCAAATGAACAGTGTAGCCAGTGATACGAGCAACGTGGTATAAGAGGTGATTGTAATTAGGCGTGATGCTGGAAACTATAAACCAGATGGTATTCTCTGCTTTAAGAGACGGGGTTGCTATCTTAAGTTCGTAGATGAATCAGACAGTAATGCATTCTCACGTCGTGTGGGATTTGTCGAACAAAATCTACGTTCCTAGTGATTGAAGATGGGAGATTGATGAAGAGCAGATGTTCTCGTCCGGACCGTTGCGATTAAAGCACATTGATTCAGATATATTTCACTAATGCCCTGATATTGAATACATACCGTGTAGTTTCTCTGCTTATAGTGTTTATTCTTGTCTCCGTCAAATCAAGGTAATATGTGATAGCAGAATTATCTCAACGGTGAATCCCTATGGAGTGGATTTGGGGTTTCACTCAGTTGACACTTGAACCTTCGTCCACACCGTATTCCATTGAATGCTTGCTCGTATGTAGACTTTCATCCCGCTAGAAAAAAAGAACACAAATGAATAACGTTGAGGAAGAGTCTCATGTTGCAATATAGCACAGGATGCTTAGACCCTATGTATTCATTCATACCAGGAATAATTGTTCCTGCTTGGACATCGCTTTCCCGACGCTGCCTAGATGCTCCATGTAGACACATGCGAGGTAGCCGCACCTGATTACCCGGTCTTGGGACAGAGACTCAATTTGGCCTGCAGCCAACAATGCACAAATGATTTCACGACGCGGCCTTCTTCTTCTTTGCTTTGGCTTTCTTCTTGCTTCGATCTCTAGGCTTCAGCGCCACCATTCCAGATTTGCAAATGTCAGCAAACCGAATATAGAAGCTGTCAAGATCATGTGGTTCCACTATTGTCGACATCTTGATCTTGTCGGACCTGTTTCTTTTTGATTTCCCATTTGACGCTCTGATGAGGACGGGCATGGGACCTGTAGGATACTGATCAGATCCTGCATCGCTCTTCTCCATGGTATCTTCTTCTGTATGGCTCATCACTATAGATGATTAGAGTCAACAATCAAAAGGTTCATAACAGAGAGTCGCCAAAACGGGAGTATATATCCATATCAGTGACGGCGTAGAATACTATACTTACAGCGCTTCTGAGTTAAATAAACCGCCCCATGACTTGCCCCTTTCCTTTGTGTGAAGAGCTCGTCAAGTTTGGAGAAAAACTGCTCTGCGGGGTTAGTCGTATGGCTGTATCTAGCAGAAAAAGCTCAGAGTTTTGAGTGAAGTGCAGATCACTAACCTCATCTTGGCTTACTTGATTAGGCTCCATTGTACAGTTCCACGGCGCCGAGAAGTCAATGGCTACAGAAGCGCATCTGTTCGTCGAGTTGTGAACAACTTGCAGAGTTGAGCGGCAGCCCAGTTTAGCAGCTTGATGCCCATGGAAGCTTGCAATGTTGTGCAATGTGGGGCGACCAATGGGTGCCTAAGTCATGGGCCTGGGCTGAGAGTTGTGGCGGGCTCCATATTTATTTTTCATTCCGCTGGTCACCAGTTCTGAGTTGACCATATTCTTCTTGAAGTTGGACCGTTGACAGAACTTGCACAGTTGCCTTGCTTGGATCTCCAGCTTGAAAACGCGTCTTGCCCGTTCTTATCACTGTTGGTTATCATCAGACTTATTAGTTCTTTTTGTCATATCCCCCCCCAAAACCCCATAACTTCTCTTTAAGCAAACAGCTCCCCTCTGCTGAGAGAGTCTGCTTGTTTTTCCCAGACATTTCGTTTCATTTTTTTCCTCCCGAGCATCGTTAGCCTCCTAAGCTTTGTAACTTTAGGTCCCAGTTAACAGATCTGCGATTTTTTCCCATCCGTCTTCTATTTATTTCGGGTGATACGAGTGCACTACACACAAAGAATCGGCCTGTTCTGGAATCATTTGCAGACAGTCTGCTCAAAATGCCAGCAGGCTCAATTACAGACCTCCAACAGAAACTGTTCAAGCGCATAGGCGTCGACTTACACACACAGAAACAATCTGGAGGAGCGGCAATCCATCGACATTATGGCTCACCTCACTCCCTCACACGCAAGGAAAATCGCAGACTTCAAAGGACGCAGAGGAAATCTCAGAGGCACTCTAACCATCCCTCGAGGCCCATGATGAAAAGAAAAGAGGGTAATTCTGCATCTTGTCACAGGAAAACCTTGTCTCCAGTACCTCGCATTTTGGCATCCCAGTTCTCAGACGTGGACCAGGTCGATGATATGCTATCAGATGCTGGCAAGGGTAGCGATTTGGAATACAGCACTGAAGAAGTGGAGAACTGGGAGGACTCGTCCGGTGAAATTTCAGCAGATACAACTCCCAATACGACAAAACGACGAGGCTTATCAAAGATACACCTGGAGAAGTTAGCCCAAGATGATGCTGAAATTGAAGATTTCGAGAGGAAGCTTGGTATCAAAAAGGGTCGTCGATCTCTACCGCAAGCATTCAAGGAAGATGGCTTGGAGGAACTAATTGGCGAGCCGGGCGAGGATATTGCCAGCAGTGAAGATGATATGAAGAAACGAAAATCTGTCTACGATGACTGGTTGTCTTCAAAGAGGAGAAAGACGGTGTCCAGACCTGTTTCACAACCCCTTTCAGACTCTCTTTCTAGGGTGAGGTCTGCTCCGACTCGGGATATGACTGAAAGCGTTTCACCGGGTTCATCTGTTATAGACGAGGACGACACCACCGGTGGACATGATTCCGACCAAAGAGCATTTGAAAATTACAAACAACCGCAAAGAGAGAATCCTTACATCGCACCTACCGGAGGGTCAGTGACTGCAAAGTATGTTCCATTGTCACGACGCTATGAAAGTACAGAATCAGAGAAGCTTGCCCAGCCTCGGCTACAACGACAAGTTCGTGGCCTGATCAATCGGTTGACGGACACCAACCTTATATCGATTGTGCAGTCTGTCGAAGAGTTATACCAATCAAATGCCCGCGCGGAAGTCACCGATATTCTCACTGATGCTATTTTGGCACAATTGCGCAAACAAGAGAGTCTGTCTGACCAATTCTTCGTCTTGATCGGCGGATTTTCCGCCGCAGTTTACAAAATTACGGGTTCCAGCTTTGGATCACATCTCGTGCGAAATATAGTGAAGGAGTTTGGTGAATACTATGGTCAAGCCGCAGACCATGATAGCAGTCAGCAAGCGTTAAAAAAGGAACCCTCCAATTTCCTGACTTTTCTTACGCAGCTGTACGTCTTTGAAGTCGTCAGTTGCAAAATTGTATTCGACTATATGGAAAAACTGTTAGACAACCTCTCCGAGCTGAACGTTGAACTGCTACTCAGGGTCTGTCGAATGGCTGGAAAGCTATTACGAAGAGATGATCCTCAAGCGCTTAAGCATGTTTCAAACGTTTTAAGCTCTTCTGTTAACAGCGTTGGATATACGAATATCTCAGTACGCACAAAGTTCATGATTGAAACAATCCAGGGCCTGAAGAATAACAAGCCGAGTGCTAAAGGAACAGACTCTACCATCGTGTCCGAGCACGTTCTTCGGATGAAAAAGCGCCTCGGTGAGCTCAAGTCACAGTCAAGACGGCTGGATGGTCTAGCACCAATGGGTATTGGCCTTAAAGATACTGAAAGCGTGGACAAGCATGGGAAATGGTGGCTAGTTGGTGCCAGTGTTCCGACCTACCGTGATGCGGAAGAAAGAGCGAGAATGATCTCCAAGACAGTGAGCCGTGACCTTGAAGATGCAGCGGACGATGAGGACATGGATTTTGTTCTGCCAGATTATCCAAGCAAGGCGAAGGCGCAAGGTCTCCATACGGGTACCCAGATTGCCATATTTACGGCCATTATGTCGGGGCTTAACTACGAACATGGTCATCGCCAATTTGTGGGTTTGAAATTGAAAAAGGATGATCAGCTTGAAATAACTAGAGTTTTGGTCCAATGTGTCGGAAGCGAACCAGATTACAATGAATATTATGCCTTGGTGGGGGGACAAGCTTGCTTGAACAGCCGGATCAGATTCGCATTTCAAGATCGTCTTTGGAAAATATTTCGAAGCTTGGGCGAATCCCTGTTCGGCGAAGGTTCAGAGGAAGCTGAGGAGACTACGGAAGGGGAAAGACTCAAAAACGAACGCCGGCTGGGCAATATTGCTCAATTTTACGCATCACTTGTGGCTAACGGTGCCCTCAGCATCAGCATCCTCAAACCCATTGACCTCCCAGAACTGAATGTATGGGCCTCGTTATTTGTGGAGTTGTTTCTTCTAAGTCTCTTACGGCAATGCAGAGGGAAAGAGACCAATGAAGATCTGAAGGTGAAACGTATCTTCGGCCCTGCCAGCGAGCTACCTGCTCTGGCAGCCAATCTGCACTGGTTTTTGAGGAAAAAAGTCCGCAAGTCCAAGCATATAGAGAACAAGCAGACCAAGGCGATGCAACGGGTGAGACAAAAGGCACAAGCCGCTATCCAAGGATCAGACGGGGATAGGCAATAGCGTACTCTATGTTATTTAGGTAAATGACCATTTTGACGTCGGATGATGTGGGGGATCTTTAGAATTGAAGGATCATGGTCTAGGTACCTAGGTAGTTACTAGCCCACGAGTCAGTTTCACAGCCACTCCCTTCGAGTAAAAAGGCAGGCCGGTACATACAAACTCTGGTTTGGCGTAATTCGTAAATTATGATCCAATTGATATCGTTTGCAGAATGACGTCCTAGCACAAGCAGCTTGATTCATAGAACTTGAGAAGGTCAAATCCAAAAGAAATGTCTAGTAGCTACCTAGGAGGTAAGTTGTCAGGTGCACAGACAGGTGTAAATAATGGTTCTCCTGTTTGTGTCAAGGGGGGCTCTTTTCCCTTTACAATTCAGCCATTAGACTCTGTGCTGCAGGCTTCTCAGGCTGCAAAGTCACCCAGTATTTAGATATATAACAATCATTGACTTTGGTGTGTCAGGGAACTCAGTATTGTCCATTGATAATTGATACCATTCGCTCTTTGGTTTCTCGAACTTCGATGTTGGCGCGGCTAAGGTCGCCTCAAGGCGGAATCGTACGGCTTGTGGCTCGGCATTTGTCCTGAGGCATTAATCACGTTGAGCAACGACAACCAACTCAGAGCCGCCTCATTGGTCATCCCTCGCCCAGTGGATTATGTTGAGGTACTCGGGAGACCTCGCTGCGTGCGTTGTGCCCAGCCTACTAGGTACCTAGCCCAATGTTTTGAGGGAAGCGCCGGGTCCCAAGGAAAATTACCAGCTGTTCCGGGGCCACCCTGCAGTTTTGCCGTCAAGCCTCGCAGGAGCTCTCCGACGACGCATCTGTGTCTCAAAACCTTAACCTTCCCTCTCGTCGCCATCGCATGTCATCCGGCACCCATTGACCAACCATAATTTGCATATCGGTGCCTCAAGATGCTCACTAGCCGTCTTGTCTCCAGGGTCGCGGTCAGGCCGTCGTCCTGGCAGCATTCCTCGTAAGTTGTCCGATCTTGGAGCTTCCACTTGAGATGCGTCATCCATGGTCGTCCCTAGGAATCGTTGCAATCAATTCAGCTCTCTAACTACTGTGTCTTCTCAGGTTGCCAACCATCGTCTCATCTCCAGGATTGTCGCGATGGACCCGTGGCTACGCCTCTTCCTCTGGTTTGTGATGTCATTTTGGCGAGCCATTTCCGAACATGACGTGTGTCTGGAGCTAACGATTTTTCAGAGGAGAAGGACCTCGTTATCATCGGCGGTGGTGTCGCTGGGTACGTTGCCGCTATCAAAGCAGGCCAAGAGGGCATGAAGGTAAGGTCAAAGATGTTCAACCTATTGATAGCTATTTTGTAAATTAACGACGATTCTTTAGGTTGCCTGTATTGAAAAGCGTGGCACCCTTGGTGGTACCTGTCTCAACGTCGGATGCATCCCCTCGAAATCGCTCCTGAATAACTCGCATTTGTACCACCAGATTCTGCACGATACGAAGAACCGTGGAATAGAGGTTGGCGACGTCAAACTGAATCTTGCCAACTTCATGAAGGCCAAAGAAACCGCCGTGAACGGCCTCACCAAGGGTGTTGAATTTCTTCTGAAGAAGAATGGTGTCGAGTACATCAAAGGTGCAGGCTCATTTGTCAACGAAAATGATATCAAGGTTGCCCTCAATGATGGTGGCGAGACAACTGTCCGAGGAAAGAACATTCTCATTGCCACCGGTTCTGAAGCCACCCCCTTTCCCGGTCTTGAAATCGACGAGAAGCGTGTCATTACCAGCACGGGTGCCATTGCTTTGGAAAAAATTCCCGAGACCATGGTTGTCATTGGCGGCGGCATTATTGGTCTTGAGATGGCTTCAGTGTGGTCACGACTAGGTACTAAGGTTACCGTCGTCGAGTTTTTGGGCCAGATCGGAGGTCCTGGTATGGATACGGAAATTGCAAAGTCAACCCAGCAGCTTTTGAAGAAGCAAGGAATGGACTTTAAGCTGAACACCAAGGTCGTCAGCGGTGACAAATCTGGTGATAAGGTTACCCTGGATGTTGACTCTGCCAAAGGTGGCAAGCCTGAAACTGTAAGTCGAACCTATTCCTTGTATCAGCTCGGTTTTCGGCCTCTTTTTCGTTCCTACTTTCCTTGACCGTTTTGATATACTGTTTCATGATGAGTACCACTGCTAATCCTGCTTGCAGCTCAGTGCAGATGTTGTTTTAGTTGCCATTGGCCGCCGTCCGTACACGCAGGGTTTGGGCCTGGAGAACATTGGCATGGAGCTTGATGAACGAGGTCGCGTCATTATCGACTCTGAATACCGAACGAAGATCCCGCATATCCGCTGTGTTGGCGACGTTACTTTCGGTCCAATGCTCGCTCATAAGGCTGAGGAAGAAGCTGTAGCTGTCGTGGAGTATATCAAGAAGGGATACGGACATGTCAACTATGGTTGCATCCCCTCTGTCATGTACACCTATCCTGAAGTTGCTTGGGTCGGCCAGAGCGAGCAAGAGCTGAAAAACCAGAAGATTCCGTACCGTGTCGGGACTTTCCCATTCAGCGCTAATTCTCGTGCCAAGACCAATTTAGACACCGATGGTCTCGTCAAAATGCTTGCAGATCCAGAGACGGACAGACTTCTTGGAGTTCACATCATCGGGCCGAATGCCGGAGAAATGATTGCGGAGGGCACGTTGGCCCTGGAGTATGGTGCATCAACGGAGGATATTGCACGAACCTGCCATGCACACCCAACATTAGCGGAAGCTTTCAAGGAGGCCGCTATGGCCACCAGCTCAAAAGCCATTCACTTCTAAAGCGGCAATCGTTTCTGGAAATAGGAGTAGGCCGAGGCTCAGGAGTCATTAGCTCTCGATAGACTATGTCAAATGTTGAGCGAGCGGGTGGGTGGTCAAAGCCTCTGCGGAAATGATTCCGATCAGGAGCAACCGACGGTGGTGGGTTAAGCATAGTTGTTCTTCCTACATCTGTCTTCCTTCTAGCATTTGGCTATGGTGCTTGTTGTAGTTCCGGATATTCTCATGGTAGATGGTGTAAAATAGTAATGAAACCTCTGTTAAAGGAGTTATAGCCTCTGCCATACTATATGGCCAGCTCTTATTTTTGGTAGTATTTAAATCAGCCTCTGCAGCGAATGCATATACTTCCTTGACTTTGAACCTTTCAATTCTACGCAACCAAATGAAAAGCAGGTCAATGCGACGGTCAAACCAGCAGTGTGATCTAAATGCTAGTGCAGTTTTGTGATGACTGGACAGTCATAAAAGGATCCAAATGCCGAGGTGATTGAGCTGCCTCTGTTACTTTTCTATTAATTATTACTTACTACTGGGTAGGTACGCGTCGAGGCTCTACACAACATTGGTTTTAAGAGTACAGGGGCGCCTATGCCAGCATGTCTCTCACAATATTTCGCAGAAGGTGTCTCGGAGAATCGGAGGCCAAAATCATTCCTACTTCTGGTCAGAGTCATCACAGCCATTTGAAATGCCTCTCTGTGCAGCACCTCCGCTTAGAGGAACCTTTTCGCGAGGAAATGGTGTGTAATGTTGGCTCTTCGAAAGGCCTTTTCAACCCTCAACGTCGTCTCCATACCGGGGTTGCACCGGCCAGGTGGCATGTCGGGTGGTAAGATCCAGCCTGTACTCCGTACTTCTCCGTTCTCCGTGCCACTTGCGCACCAACCCCCTGCCGTAGCCTCCCTGATTAGCGACCCAATGCGTTAAACAGGTCAATCAACTCCCAAGTGGGCTGCTTTCACATTGCATCTAGCCGAGCCGAAGTGGCCGGTGGCTTTGCCAAACGAATTTTGTTAGCGGTCTGGTAGCTTCAGCGTTCTCCGCCCCTCTCCCCTGGACGTAGACAAGAAACGTCGTGAATACAACATCCACAGACCGCCAGCAAGATCGTGAGAAGCACACAAAACCCCGACGGTATTGATTCAGCCTTTCAATTGCTGGGTGTTTTGAGGGGGATACTGGCAAATCGCTCTCAGGATCCTGAGTCTATCGTCTCATGCACATCAAAAACTTGGGAGGGTGGCGCGTGCGACTGACGGTTCTTCGCAGTAGATTAGTACTGCCCTGACGAGACACGATTGGCGGTACATACATCCTGCACTCAATCTGTTTACTACGGAGTAGACAGCCCCCAATCAATATTCTTGGTTCAGTCATCCAAGAATCAAACCTGATGAACTCGACCTCAACGCTTGCCGGGGTTCGGACATACCCTTACATGTCTAGGAACGAGATCGAAAGTCGTATAGCAGGCGGCCAAAAAATCGTCATTTTCAATCAATATGTCCTAAAAGTCGACCCATGGCTGCCTTACCATCCTGGTGGTGAGAAAGCTTTACTGCACATGGTAGGCAAGGATGCTACAGATGAAATCCAAGCGTAGGTGGTTTCACACTCTTGACAGTTTTCTCAATGTTGCAAAGGTGAACCTTTCCTGCTAACTGGATTCACCTCTTCCCTACACGCCAGTCTTCACTCTAAGGCCGCCCAAGAACAAATGATGCGGTATCGAATCGGCAAGATTGATGGTTTTTGGACAAATTTCCGACCACCGATTCAGGGGGGTCTGTTTCGCTCATCTATGGACGCCGACAACGTTGATTGTGAGGAGCTGCATAATGGCAAAGTGCTAGCCTCAAGCACTCCCATATCTAGATCGCCATCCCCTGTATTTGACGCTTCTCATGACGGCTTGAGAAGACGAGGCCACGACGAAGATCACCCCACAAGAACAGCGTCAATATCCTCGCAGTCAAGTGTGGAACCTGATACTACTGGAATGTCGTATCTAGACGCTCTTACAAGAGAGCAGATTAGTATAGACATCGACAAGTACCCGGGTGTTGATCTTGTCACCCAGCACGAAATAGCAGCGAAATACAAAAGCTTGCATCAGGCGATTATGGATGAAGGCCTTTACGAATGCAGTCGGACCGCATATGCCTTCGAATGCTGCCGATATGTTGGATTATTCGCCGCTATGGTCACATCTCTCAGTTATAGTCAATACGTGCTGGGTGCGGTGTTCTTAGGCTTTGCTTGGCATCAACTTGTCTTCCTTGCTCATGACGCGGGGCATATGGGGATCACACACGACTACCAAATCGACACTGCTATTGGGATATTCGTCGCTGATTTTATCGGCGGCCTGTCCCTTGGCTGGTGGAAGAGGAACCACAATGTTCATCACATCGTCACGAATGCCCCAGAGCATGATCCCGACATTGAGCATATACCCCTCTTCGCCGTGACACATCGTTTACTGGGAAGCTTGCGATCGACATACTACGATCGGGTTATGGAGTACGATGCCGTTGCCAAGTTTATGTTGAGAATCCAAGCCTGGACATACTATCCTCTACTCGCGTTAGGACGATTCAATCTCTACCGGTTGTCGTGGGACTATCTCATTGCTCGGAGGGGCCCAAGGCGTGGCCCTGGAGCCTGGCACTGGTACTTGGAAATTGCGGGGCAATTTTTTTTCTGGGCTTGGTTTGGTTATGGCATTTTGTACAAGATGCTCCCTGATGGCTGGACGCGGTTTATGTTTGTCATGGTCAGCCACATTACTTCATCGCCGCTCCATGTGCAAATTGTGCTCTCCCATTTTGCCATGAGCACATCAGACTTGGGACCGCAGGAGTCCTTCGCACAGCGCATGCTCCGTACCACGATGGATGTAGATTGCCCTCCCTGGCTCGACTTCATACACGGAGGGTTACAGTTTCAGGCAATCCACCATCTCTTCCCTCGGGTGCCTCGACATAACCTTCGTAAGGCACAAAGGCTGGTAGTGGAGTTTTGCCGAGACGTTGGCATTCCCTATGCGCTGTATGGGTTTTCTGATGGAAATAAGGCTGTCATTGGTCGACTTTCAGAGGTCTCCCGACAGGCTGCTATTCTGGCAAAATGCCAGCAGACTGTAGCAAGGAATGGCGGTGTCTTTGGACACGATGACTGATGCAGGAGAAATTCGAGGACTTTTCAAAGATATTTTTCATGGATCAGGTGTGCTTTGATACATATATTCTTTCCTATGGGCTTCCGTTGGAGGAAAAAGCGAAGCCGAGGAGGCCAAGTTCCTTTTTGGTATGGGCGAGCCTCTGATCTTAATACCGTCAGTTACTGTCATTGAGGCTATGAAGGGCATTAATAAACTTAATGATAAAGAAGAAACGGTAAGGCAAATAATCTAGATAGGTAAAAACGCAGTGTTAAAGTGTGGTCTTTGTATCGAGTTTCAACGCGTGGGATGTACTCGTGCACCTTGGAAAGAACGTAATTATACTCCGCGTTTGGAACCTTGCCTGTACAAACGCCTGGCACTCGATATTATAGCATCCATCTTGTGGTCATTTTCCACATTTGCCCTTATGCTTTCTTAACCTTCAACAACACACAGGCACGGATAGTCAACAGTCAACTAACTAACTGGTGGTGGCCAGCTGACATGACGCCACACCTCGGCGACATCTCCACAGTGCCACAGTGCCACAATGCCATCCGGCCTTGATATTCTCAACCATCCTTCACTCCTGTTTCAATGTCGTCAATTGTCGCTCTGTAAACTGGTCGTCAGAGACTACCAAATTAGCATCACATCATCAATACACACACCTCCGTCTGCTCTTATCCTCGAGCGCCATATCGCAACCGCCGAACTGCTCAAGTTGTCTCGTCTCTTGTTACTTACTGTCTTGTCCTCTTAGGATCGTGGCACTTCAAAGGCAGCTATCGGGGCAGCGGCCATTTTCTCCTGTCAAGTGTACTCCGACGTAACTCTGTATAAGCTTTGTGCACCTATGGTCAGGCGGATAATTTCCTTCGCAAACCATCTGACGCAGTTGAAAAGCATGATCTAGTGACCATGGATACCAACATTCAACGCGCCCTGAACGACAAACTATACGACAAGCGCAAGGTCGGAGCACTTGAGTATGTGTCCCTTTTTCTTATCGCCTTTGCTTGACATTCTCTTCACTTTTTTTTTTAAATATGCGGTTGTACATGTTGAATCGAACGACGAGCGCCTTCTCTGATATTGTGTTGGACAGGTTAGAGAAAGTCATACGAGACCTTGTCGCGTCTAAGGACTATCAACGAGTACACGATATTCTCGAGCAACTGTGCAATGACTATGCTTATGCAGTCCACCAGCCTCATGCTCGAAATGGGGGACTTATTGGCCTCGCTGCGGCGGCAATTGCTCTTGGCCCTGTAAGTACCAATGGCGTCGTTTGGTTGACACATCAGAACGTTGAGTCGTGTCGTGAGCTTTTGCGCAATAATACTCCTTCACCTATCCAAGGAAACAGAACCTTGTTAGAGTTCATTCTTCGTTTCTGTGTTACCTTCACTACAAGCATATATGTGTCCGCCATCCTGGTGCCCATGCTTCTCCAAAGAGTCATGTCATCCAACTGCTGACTGGAACCCGTTAGGACCTCCCACGGTATCTTGCTAGGATAGTTCCGCCGGTGCTTGCCTGCTTCACTGATCAAGATGCCCGTGTAAGATACTACGCCTGTGAGGCAATGTATAACATTGCCAAAGTTGCAAAGGGTGAGATTTTGGTCTATTTTAACAGCATATTTGATCAACTCTGTCGGGTATGGTCTTCTCCTTTCAGCCTCTGAGCTCGGCATGCTCAAAGTTGTGCTGGTTACTAAGATCAAAACATAGCTTGGGGCGGACTCCGAACTATCGGTAAAGAATGGCGCTGAATTGCTGGACCGGCTTGTTAAAGATATTGTTTCCGAATCGGCTGCTTCATATGTATCGGTACTTGAGGCACCGCCAAGGTTCGACGGCGATGACAAGGCCACGGTAGAAGACCAGCAAGTAACTCTACCCACTGCATTCTCGCTGTCAAGGTTTATCCCTTTGCTGAAGGAGAGAATATGGGTCATAAACCCCTTCACTCGGCAATTTCTCGTCGGCTGGATAACCCTGTTGGATTCTATTCCTGACCTTGAACTCGTCACGTATCTTCCTGACTTTCTTGGGGGTCTTCTCAAATTTCTTGGAGATCAGAATGCAGATGTGCAAACTGCAACGCAGTCTTGTCTTGACAAATTTATTAACGAGATCAAACGGATCTCGCGGGTGAAGAAAGGAATTGTTGAGAGCAAAAAGTCGAGAGAGGGGGGCAAGCGAAAACGTCAAGAGTCCATGGATACAGAAAGTCTTCGACCAGACCTCGAAGAAGGGGACGAGATCGATTCCGATGCCTTCGATGACGATGAGGAAGATAGCGCCGAGGAAGACTGGATTCCAGGGCAAGATGTTGAAATCAACTACAAAAACATATTAGAGATCCTTACGGCTACTCTGGACTCTCCACTAGGTTTGCGATATTTCCGTCTTCAAGTGCTGGTTGACAGTGTTCAGTTCTAACTATAAGTAGAAGAAGACTGTCTATTGGAATCTCTTAGATGGATTGTAGAATTTCTCGACATATGCCCAGAGGAAGTGTTGCCCTTCACCCCGAAGATCCTCGCTCACATGCTTCCTGCTATGGCTAGCAGCAAAGAGACCATTCACCAAGCCGCTACACGAGTAAATACCTGTCTCATGGATTACGTGGTCTCAATCTCAGACGACTCAGGACTTAGCTACCAAGGCATTTCACCAGGCCAAAGCCAACACGCACCGCTCACATTAGCTGTCGATCGACCTGATGATTCCCATAGCAATCGGATATCACTATCGAGCATTCGTGAGCAGGGTACGCAGAGTCCTGGTCATGGTCTGGGCCGATCAGCTTCAATATCCGGTGGGCTGTCTGCCAACTCACCCCAGACTGACCTCGATTATGCTGCTGCTGTTAACTCCCTCACTCTTTTATTTCTAAATGACCATGAAGCAACAAGGGTTGCTGCATTGACATGGCTTATCATGCTTCACAGAAAGGCGCCTAGAAAAGTTCTAGCATTTAACGATGGGACATTTCCCGCGTTGCTCAAAACCCTTTCTGATCCATCCGACGCGGTTGTCACGAAAGACTTACAGCTGCTATCCCAGATATCCAGAAATAGCGAAGATGACTACTTTGCAAACTTCATGGTCAATTTATTGCAGCTATTTTCTACCGATCGCAAACTTCTAGAAACCAGGGGCAACTTAATTATTCGGCAACTATGCATCAGCCTCAGCCCGGAGCGAATATATCGCACCCTAGCTGATTGCATAGAGAAGGAAGAGGACGTTGAATTTGCTAGTATCATGGTGCAAAATCTTAACAATAATCTCATTACGGCTCCACAACTTGCAGAAGTACGGAAACGTTTACGAAATCTGGAAACCAAAGACGGACAAACATTGTTTGTAGCTTTATTTCGGTCCTGGTGTTACAATGCTGTTGCCACATTTTCTCTGTGCTTGCTTGCACAAGCTTATGAGCAGGCTTACAATTTGCTTCAAATATTGTATGTCATCTGCTCTGTCGCATTCCGCTGTCGATCATTATAATGCTAACACGGAGGTAGTGGTGAATTAGACATGACAGTAAATCTTCTTATCCAGGTCGACAAGCTAGTGCAACTCATTGAATCTCCCGTCTTCACTTGTGAGTAATCATAGGAAACTCGATGCCTTGGCCAGTCGATTAATTTGCTTACGCCGACGTCAGATTTGAGGCTGCAACTGCTAGAACCGGAGAAATATCCATACCTATACAAATGCATGTACGGGATTCTGATGTTGTTGCCACAATCATCGGCCTTCGCGGCCCTCAAAAATAGACTCAACAGCGTCAGCTCAATTGGGTACTTGACGGTGGCACCTCGGAGGTAAGCAGGCGGTTCGGGGAATGACAATGTCCTCTCGACACCAATCCCGGTTGTTTAATATGCGACTTGTGAAATACTCACTCCACTTCCAGTGCGGCGACGCCATCCGGCAGCTCCAACTACGACCGGCCAAACCGGCTGAAAGGTCGAGATGACGGCGGCATCAGGTGGGTCGAGCTTCTAGAAAAGTTTCGTAGTGTGCAGGACCGAGCAAGACGAGTGCAACGGCATAATCTGGAAGGGGAAGACATCTCCACGACAAGCCTAGGCGAGCTTCGTATGGCAGATGGACCACTGGACTTGAAGAACAGCAATCGAGCACCCGCTCCGGTGATCTCCCAGGCGGCATCTAAAGAGCTTGCTCCAGCACCTCCGGTTAAGAAATCTGGCCTGGGTAGACAATTTGGAAGATTAGGCGGCGCAGTTTCGGGCAAGGGTAAGAGAGGTTAGTAGACTTAGTGAGAGTGAGTGCTCATTAGTTCTAAGAAGGCAATGGGTAGATGCTCAAATTGCACTAAAAGGATGTTTCGTCATGGACGCCGCTTGACCGGACTTGCTTGTTCCACTAAGCTTTCGAAAGCTTCGTCTCTACGAGAGGTGAATCCTCTCAGCTTTTGCCGGAGTGCGTCAATTTCATTCCTAGCTTTGTTTGTATCGCTTGGCAGCCCTTGAAAGGCCATCAACTGCGCATCTAGATCCTTCTTATGGGACAATACTGCCAAAAACTGCTCTTCTTCCTCGGTCACGAGCTGAATAGTTGGATCGGAGCCCTTTCCGCATGGTACGCAGGTTGCCATGCGGTCTTGTGTATCTGCTAAATGTGCATTAAAGGCCTTGGTTTTCCGCTGTAGGTCCAAGTTCTGCTTGGCTAGTTCTGGCGGCAATTGGTAATTCTGGCTCTGCGTAGTGGCAAGCCAGTCTGTAGTCTTCTTCGCTTCACGGTAAAGAAAACTTTTCCAAAAATCTGCCCTCAAACTCGCCTGCGAGGTTTCAAACAAAGTCGTTTGTAGAGCAATCAGTTGATTGCTAAGATCCTCTAATTTTGGAAGGCTGATTCCATGTTGTACGGCTGCGTCCCCCATAGCATCGAGAGCGACTTTGCCATCCTGGTCAAGGTGAGCGGAAATAGCCGATAAAATTTGCTCACGAATGCTGGAAGTCATTCCGGAACGAGGCGGGTCATCTGCCAAATCTTCGAAATATCCATCAATGTGACTACCCTCTCCCCGGGCAATTTTTTCCGCGCTAGCCAGTAAATGACGACTGTCGTCAGCGCGCTCGCTAATACTAGCCACTGCGAGCAGGGCCTTAAGCGTTGAGGGATTGCGTTCAAATATGGGCAGAGTGTCGCCATCAGGAAACTTTGAGGCAAGCCAGGAGTCTACGTAAGACCAGTCCTTGGCAGTTGAGGCAGCGATACGAGCCATGGACGGAGAAAAGATGGCCGCAGAACCATCGTGCGCTGGGGGGACCTTTGCTGACAGGACCATTGTTATTGATGTTGATATTGCTCTTATTCTTCCGACCTACATAAGCAGGCAAGCGTGGTTGCGGTAGGTGCTAGGTAATGATCAAGCTATTTGATCTTCACGGCTTCAGAAACTTGGTCGCCCCCCTTCCCTTTGGTGTCCTCTCCCTATGTTTGAGTTAGCACCTGGGACTTGGACCAGAACACTGATGGTTTGTACATGTGTAGCCAGTTGTACCTTGAATGCGGGTACGGTAGCTTATTTAGGACCCAGGAGCACGATAGCACGCAACGAACTATGCCAGAACTCAGGGATGAAAAACCGACCTTCCTCTCGTCTCGGGCAAACGCAGACAGGCCCCTCACTCCCACGAAGTCTCGACGCTCTTAGAAGGGACAGATCTGGGTCTTCCCAGTCATATGGAGCAGACAACCAGAACATTAACGGTTTCTATCCGTCGGTAAGTGGCAAAAGCTTGTGGCGACAAGACTCAGGTAATCCAAGCACGTAGAAGCTTGCCGTTTGATGCTTGAGTCCGTCCAGCTGATGTGAAATGTGGAATGTCCGAAGCCCGAGGGCACTACGGAGTATTCTGGTCCGAGTTGCCTGTCTTCTTAGGTTAGGTGGTGGTTGTCACGTCGACGTTGTCCGTGTCTTTCGGCCAAAGTCTCGCCGCCAACTTTAAACAATGTGGTTTTACAGTGCACACCTTGGCGCCCGGCCCACATGTGCAGGCTGTTGCGGCTCCCGCCCCAAACGCTCGAACCACCTTGTCTTGGTGCAAGTGCCACATAGACCGAGTGGCCACCTGGCACTTACGCCTGCCTTCATTCTTTTCAATACCCCTTCAATGTTCTCTTCTACTCCGGACAAACTTAAGAAGCATTGCCAATCATAAAATATCGATCCTCACAGCGGTTATCCTGTATAAACCCAGTCTTATTGTTTTTGCAACATCAGGCCTTCTCGCCTCGCCGCCAGCCACGGTCGACCAGTCGCTCGCCTCTTCGAGAGTAACATTGATATGGGTTTGACCATCTTCTCTAGCCCCAGCTTCTAGAAAGGGTATATACAAACCATCATTCAACTGAAGTACATAAGTGCATACGAAAAGGCCTGCCTTCGTTGCTGGTATCGAAATCCAGTCGTCCGCCCCCTGCTCGATCTTGTCCGACTGACCCTCCCGCGTCTCGTCTCTGCGCCTCAACAATGCGATTGGACTTCTCCAACCTTGCTGTCACAGCAAGCTTGCTTGCATCTGCCACAAACTTGGTCGCCCATGACATACCTGTCGACTTGCCCGTGTCGACACTGTTAACATCAGCGCAATCGCATCTCGCCAGGGGTGAAACCAGCGAGGCTCTTGCCTACTACGATGCTGCCGTCGCCAAAGACCCATCGAATTACGTCACTCTATTCAAGCGTGCCACCACCTATCTCTCGCTTGGCCGCTCTAACCAAGCCAGTGAGGACTTTGGCAGGGTCTTGGAGCTCAAGCCAGGATTTGAAGGCGCGCATATCCAACTAGCCAAAATAAAGGCCAAGGTTGCCGATTGGGAAGGCGCCCGATCAGAATACATGGCAGCAAAGAGAAATGATGAATCAACAGAGCTTGTCGAATTGGCAGAGGCCCAGCGGGCCGCAGACCTAGCAGAGGCGGCGGAGAGGGATAAGAATTGGGAAGAATGTATCAGTCATGCCGGCGTAGCCATCCTCGTTGCCTCCAGAGCGCCATCTCTGCGTGAGCGGCGTTCCCGATGCAGGTTTCAGCGTGGAGAAATTGAAGAAGGCATGAGTGATCTGCATCACGTCCTCCAGCTCCGGCCAGGCAGCATTGATCCGCACATTCTCATTTCTGCAACTACTTTCTATGCACTTGCAGATTTTGATAACGCCATTGCACAAGTCAGGAAATGCCTGCACTCTGATCCTGACTCTAAAATTTGCAAGGCGTTACACAAGCAAGAGAGACGTCATCAAAAGGCATTTCAAAAGGCTGAGAGCCAGCTCAACCGAGGCCAGACTACTTCAGCCGGTCGGTCGTTAGTAGGGTCTGCAGACGAACCAGGCCTGCTTCCAAGTATTCGTGAGCAAATAGACAATCTCCGACGAGATGGTTGGATTCCAATGCAAGCCAGGACAAGGTTATACGACAGGGTTGTTGAAATGCTGTGTCAAGCATATGTAGAGGTAAGCCTGGTAGCCCGGTATTTACGCATGTTTCTTTTTTTTATTTTCCCACTCAGAAGATTTTCAAACTTTTGTGCTCCCCTGCCCTCTCGGTATCCATCATGAAATATCTTTCAGCATTTTTGAAACTCCGTTTTTGTTCGGCCACAGCATAACTGACGTTTTTTTGCCCAGTCAAACCACAAGGAGGCCTCTAAATACTGCGAGGAGGCAATCGAGCTAGACCCTGAGTCATTCTGGGGCCTCATATACAAGGGCAAGTCGCTTCTCAAGCGTGAAGAATACGATGCAGCTATTCAGACACTCGAGAAAGCTGCCGAGATACGACCGGACAAGAGTGATAAGATCCATCCCATTTTGCAAAAGGCGCAAATTGCTCTAAAGCGAAGCAAGACGAAGGATTATTACAAGATATTGGGTGTGGCAAATGACGCTGATGAAAGACAAATCAAAGCAGCATATCGCAAAGCATCTAAGCAGTATCACCCAGACAAGGCTGAAAAGCAAGGTATCACTAGGGAGGAAGCACAGAAGAAAATGGGTTCTATCAACGAAGCATACGAGGTCCTCAGCAACCCCGAATTACGTGCCCGATTTGATCAAGGGGATGATCCCAACTCACAAGAGAAAGGTAGTCCGTTTCAAGGAAGCCCATTTGGTGGGGGACACCCTTTCATGTTTCATCAACAAGATGGGGGCGGTGCAAACTTCAAATTCCACTTTCCCGGGGGAGGTGGTGGCCCATTTGGGTTTTAATAAATCATGGCACATAATCAGAAATCATGTGGTATCCAGATTAGTAGGGTAATCCGCTCTCCTTGATTTTATATGAAACGTGCCGTCCAGCTGTGATACACACTCTATCTGCTTCTTCTCGGATAGCATCTTGGGCAGCTGTCGAACCCCTTCTAGACTAATTTGGCAAGTTGCTTTGATTTACTAGCATCCAGAATATATGTCACCAATTGCAGGACATTTGTATTATCCTGTGCACCACAACTGTCCGATTGGTTGCCATTAAGGAAATAGGCAGGCCATGTGACATCGCCACAGTTCTAATCGTGAGAGGAAGCTAAGGAAATCAACATGAACCAGATAAAAGCCACCATCACAACAATAAGGACATTATGGTATGATCAATCAGGTAGTAAATAACATTACAAATCCTTTAGAATTCGCATCAGATGTCTGCGGACATTCATAGTAGTGCTTATGATCCGACATGCCTATCTAGATATCCAGTTTTATCAATAATGCTTCGTCAAGCCATCAGTTCTAGTTAGTATGATACTGCCCGTTCCCAGAGATTCCTAAGAGCTAAATCCATCGCATTTTGTGTACACAATTTCCAGTAGCTACAGTATGGAAGCATTGGATGCAGAGCGTCTGTTGTCTGAAGCGAAGGATCTCTGTAGACGTCAGAGTTCAAAGTCCCAAGCCAACAAAAGGCGGGAAAGAAAAGGCCGAAGTAAAACAAAGGACAGCAGGCCTCTACCTCCGATGCGCCAAGAGCCCATGACAAGAAATGCGCACTTTATTGCTTCGATGGACAGGTGGCCATCAAGGCGTTGTGAGACTCTAGTCGACGATACATCTAACCATGCGCCCCTTACGATGAATCGTTGCGCTTGATGAAATAGGCCCTGCAATACTAGTTAGCAATTTCAAAAGTTCGAGGTAGCCGACCTATCATCTGTAATGAGCTTACTTGGAGAACTCGTATGCCGACCAGCAAATAGCGGTGCTAGGCATTGTGGTGACTACTCTAGGACGCACACCCTTGAAGAAGCCACGAAACCCTTCTCTTTGATAAAGAAGCTGACATCCGCCTAGAAATCCGTTCACACTTCGAACTTGAGGGTCCGATGATGTACCTCGAGTTTGCAAGATTGTCTTAATTACATCCATTGGTGTGGTCAAGCCAGCCGCAAAGCCTCCAGCAACCGCTCCAGCAAGACAATGCGTAAAAGGGTCGTAATTTTTTTCGGGATTCATGGCCGTCGAAATCGATTCATAAGCCAGAAACTGCAATGCAGTAAACGGGACTGTCATGGACAATGTCGTAGGATATGAAATGTAAAACGCTCCAATGCCTTCGTTTCGGTACACATACTTGGCGCAGTCGATCATGGACCGGTACATTTTGCTGGAGTTTTGGATTTGCATTCGTTGTTTAATGACTGTAACTGAATTAGAGACTGTTTTCGAGCGATGAGAAACGAATCATTAGCAAGCTAGCGAGGACCTTACCATCAAATGGGTTCATAAAGGCATCGCTAGCAATAGTAGCGGCAGCTCCGCTGGTAGCTGTTTCATACATCGTGTCAGTTATGCGAGTATCTCACGGTTCCAACCCAGGGCATGCAGGCTGATACAGAAGTCCATAGTCCGTATTACGATATTAGACTTACCGGCGGCGAGTGGGTGGTGCACACCGGCCTGGTTCCCACCCATGGCATGTTTGACAGCCTCGTATGTAGCAAAGTACACAGCATGTGCAGGGCCTACATGCATCTGTTTAGCCCATTGCAAAAGGCATTGTGCCTGGAAGCATAGTTATCTTACCAGCTCCAACAATGACACTAGACATCCCACGCCACAAACTGAAGAATCCCTCCCCCGATGCTATTTGATAGGTGTTGCGGAGAACACCAGAATAAGCTGTTGTAGTGCTAGGACTGAGGACCTGCATTCGCGTCTAATTTGGATTTTGTTAGTATATGTGAGTAATTCCGATAGGCGGTCGTCGCGCCGGAAATGGCGGCACGTCGGCTCTGGACAAGTAGGGTTGGAGGCAGGTTGGCTAATCGTACTTTGATTGCATCAATGGGATACATGACAGTGTGCTCCTAAATATCGATTCTCAGCATCATTCAACTGACCAAGGGTATACAATGTTCGGCAGAGCCGGTTCGGCTACCATAGCAGGTAAATGGGGATCGGACGTACGGCGATGCCAGCAAACGCGCCTGCTGCCATATTCTGCAACAGGGAGAAGTTAGGCGGAAGTGATTCATAGCTTGTCAGTTGAATAACATAGTCAGCACATCAACACCGCTTTGTTTGTGTGTTTTTTTTTTTTTGGGGGGGGGGGCTTCAGAGGGAAGGGGGATGGTTGCAATTACTCGTAATCATCGCCTGGCTCGGCACTTGGCTGGGCCATTTCGGCCACAGCTTCAGAAGCTCTGCCGAAGGCTTTAGAGTCCAGGGCAGCCAGATTGGCAGCGGGAGTGCCGGGGCAATCGGCCGATGTCAAGGCAGAAAACAGTCGATGGAAAATTGAGAGACTCGGGATGCGCAGAGACGAATGCTGAGTAAGAGCTGCGCGGATGAATGATTGCGATGTGGTGGTGCACGTCCGGAGTTGGGATGAAGTGCCAACGGCTGAACCACAATGGCCGGGCTAGTCTCAAGGAGTTTGAAATGGAATGGTACGGAAAATGAGTCAAGCAAACGACTGTCAATAAGCAGTCGGTGGATGGGTTGAGGATGAACTTGACCAAAGAGTCGGACAACAATCGAGGCGAAACGGTGTCTGGCAGGTCTGGGCGAGGCCAACTGGTAAAAATTTCCGCGATGGTTGCTCCGTTCACGGCCTCGGAGTCCGGCGCAAACCCAAGTGGCCATCGTTCAAAACCACCCAGTGCTCAGTACTGCGTAGTGCGCACAAAGTAACTACTCTCAGGACCCAGCCACTAGAAGGGGCACCACCAGCCATGCCAGAGCGTCGACTGGTCCATGCATGCACCTCAGCAGACTAGTACCAGTTGACCAATTCCAGGGTCCGGCGCGTCGTCCGCTCGGCATATTAATTACCAAACCGCCTGCCAGACTGGTTCTGCTCCGCATTGATATGTTGATCGAATATAGTGACGCATCGGAGGTGTGTGTCAGCACTGGAGCACTCCGCCATGTGCTGATATGCTATGCTCCTTAGCCTGGATCCTTGCCCTCACTGGTTTCGAACTAGATACTAGCACCTAAGGACCTCGTTCGAACTGGCAGTGTATATCGCAGGGGCTCTTGGCCTCGGCTTTAGTCTAGACACACTCCGAGCCCTCTGAGAAGTGGGAGCTGTGAGCCTGTGGGAGGTCATGGTCTACAATCGTCAGCACATTCATTGTGTACGGAGCAGAATTGAGAAATTAGCCATCCACGATATTTTATTCAGTTTCGCCATAAAATGCTATAATGACGAAAAATTGACTGTTGGGAAGCTGAGTCTTGCTGGTGTAAGCTCGTAGCATACATATGTAGCGAAGTCTGGTCTTTGCCTTGTTGTATCAAATGCTTGAGCTCGTCTCTGGCACTTGAACTATAGATAGGTATCCATTTAGTCATGTCCCGGCGCACTGTCTCTTCTTTTCTTCGGTAAAATACTAGTAGTTGACTATTAATTGGCAGTAGATGGTAATAGAGACACCGGGGTTTAGTAACTTGCCTCTTGGCGCACTCGGCTCGGCTGCGTTGTACTCACATCCGAGCCAGCCTTGTATCATTCAGTCATCCGTCATTTAATCTCGCCTAGACGTAAGTAGTATTACCCCGTCGTAGCCATCATTTGTCGCGTCTCCTCCACCTAAAATTGAGTGTGCAGAGGAAAAGGTCTTTTGGTTGACCACCTGTCTACCCAGGTAGGTTTACATAGTCAAGGGCAAAGCTTGTCATCACCCCTCGTACCACACTTTCATACATTTCGTGAGCAAAATTCGTCGCTGCCCAGGTGTGTAATCAGCCCTCCGGCCATATATCGCCCTTGTAACAAAAAGACACATCTTAAACCACGCCACCTCGTCGACGATGTTGTGCCTGGCGTAGTTGATATATGAGCCCAAGCACACCACCTTCCCCTAGCTCTCCGTGTTGTGTTGAGCTATTTTCTCGGCTAAGGCCCTTATCTGGAGATGTTTCCCATGTTGATTCTCCTAGGATACCGCCTTCATCGTAAACATCATCTTCGTCGCCTACACTTTGTCTGTCTGCTCCGTAGCCTGCACCTTCTTCTATGATCTGATTTTCTCCATGATAAGCACCTCTAGCCTGGCGAGTCCGGTGCCAACTTCTCGCACCCAACGATGGCGCCGTTGGCTGATGATGCGGGTCTAACAACACCGATGCCATGGGAGATAGATGCGGAACGGTGGGCACCATTGCTCTTTTGTGCGGCATCGTGCTGGTCCCACGAGCCCGATTCCGCGCCAAGTCTGTCCGCGAGATGTTTGATTTATGCATATCTGCCGCGAGAGACGGAGAGTTAAGACTAGGGAAGGCTGGCGGCGGGTAAAATTGCCCCCGAGGCCCAGGTGGCATATGACCAGGGATACCCGTCTTTGGATTAATAACATAGTTGTCCAGGAACCCGTAGTATGACGCTGCCATCTTCCCGTGTTTAGTAGAATAATAGTCATCTCGAAGATCGGGGCCGGCTGCCTGTGTCTGAGTTTGTCTCATCCCTTTCTTAAAATCGAAGACAGCAAAGGAACACACATAGCCGAGGCCATCTACATGAATCGTGAACTCACGAAAGAAGTCAACCACCTGTTCCGCGCACTTCGGTAGAGAGAAGAACAAGAGCATTGGAGTTGTGATGATGCCCAAAACCTCTTCCAAGAATATAACAGCTTTCATCTTGTACAACTCCGAGAATTCCTGCTTGACCTCGAAGCTATGCAGACGTCCCTGCCAGTGGTCTGGCATGTAATGCGTATATTCGATAACATTTCGTAGTGCATACTCCGGATTAAATACAGTGGTCTCTTCCGATATCATGCCCCGGGTCATAGCCCATATGGCCCCAAAAACACCGAGATAGAATAGGACTGGCCTATCCTGTGTTATTTCAAATCCGAGAAAAAGCTCAGAGTCGAGGAGAGTGCCAACGGCTAGCACAGCTGTTATGGCCCCGGACATAAATGAGATGCTTCGAGCAATTTCTTCCGTCATTCGCTTGGGGAACTGTTCAATATACCGGGTTGCAAATGGAAAAGACATATGGAGCCTTTCATAGAAGATGTGAGGTAGCTCATTGAACTCCCTAAACTTCCACTCCGCAAGAGCCGTGTACTTCCGGGCGGCTGCTAGTTTCGGGTCTTTCTGATATTCCTGCAGCCGTGGCCAATTAGCCTTTGCTTATCAAAATAAAGGCTGAGCTGTGAGCTGGGTGATTCGGCAGCGACATCTTACATTATAATAGGTGAAAAAATACACAATTACAACATATGCGAGTACGACTGGAGCAAAAATGAGGTTGAGGAACCCAGCAAAGTACAGGCGCTGTCGAAGCTTTTGACTAAGCAAAGAACGTCTATCGGCGCGCAAAAATTCCTGCCTCACTTGGCCAAACTCGTTGAAAGCCATGTCGAGTATACAATAATGCAAGTACCATTCCATAGTTTTTGAAAAAAGCTGTCTGTCGCCTAGAAGGGGTACCGGGAGTGAGAGGTTGAGAACATCCTTGTTGATCATTGCGATAAGAAAGTTCTCCTTTCTCATTAAGCGATTTGCTATGTCATGAGCGTCAAGTCTTTCCTTCGACTGACTTCCGATATAACGGCGAAGATTGCGCGGCATATTGGTGGCAGTCTTCGGGTTATAATCACGCAAGGACATGATTCGGGCAACGATATCTTGCCACGATACTGTTTGCATATCCTGCTCAGGAATTTCTAGCAGATAGACAAAGAAGTCTCGGACATATATCAAGCGACGGATCTCAAAGAAGTATTGGACCGATTTCCATATAAAGAAAAAGGAATACATCCAGATGCCAAGGCTCCAGGAGGTCGACATATATCGTGTGCACTGATTGACGACAACTTCACTCAACGACTTACTATGAGGCACTTTTCCATAGTCAACACATTGAGTGAGAAACGTCAGTAGAACGGCGACAAAAAGCGTCTCCCTACACCTTGTTAGCAGATCTAATGCATTTTGTCACCATTTGCACTCACAGAAGCCACAGTGCATTCGAACACAGTATGCATAGTAGACCACCACCCTCATAGTAATCATATACATCCCGCATAAAGCTATCAAGGTTTGAGATATTGACCCATCTCCAAAGGGCTTTCTCCCTCCTCCCACCAGGAGCTAGGCCATTCATCAAAGACCTAGGCTGCTGTATACTGATGTCGCTTTGCTGGCTATGCGGATGCATGTGCTGATGTCCGGTTGTTGCCTGCCACCGTGCTTTTGGTTGTCTGTCGAATTTTCCGGCGTGCAGGGGCGTCGTATCGTGATCTGTATGCATGGACTGCAAGGTTCTTTTATGTTCCTGTTCATGAGACTCAACTAAAAGCGATGCCGGCACATCATTCTCGACGTCCTCGTCATGATACGGCCATCGGGAAGTTGATGCAAATTTGGAGAATTGCGTTGATTCACCTCCAGCGATATTGGTCGATGTATGCGACGCAGCATGCTTTCTTCCGGTAGCTGGAGTCTCGGCATCAATGTAGTCGAAGTTGTGATCTACACTTTCCGAGTCCAGCCTGTTGCTCTCCTTGAGGTTCACAACTTCCCCGCTGTGCGAGCTTGTACCTGCTTCACTTTGAACCGGACGGCCGCGTCGAGACGGCGTCTCGTCCGGGTGAAACATATCGGATGCCATTATCGTGGCAAAGTTCTTTTGCAGAAAACGTAGAGCTTGCCGGGCTCCTGCACACTTGTTTGGTGGCACTGTTGTTCAGTCGCGTGCGGTGGACGTCATCTCCTGGCGTTTGGTCCTAAGCTTCACTGGATAGGCTCCTGTTAGCAATTCTCCTAACACAAATATCTTTCGAGGATTGTTAGCTAGATTGAGCTACTTCTCCGTACCGGGTACGCATCCATCTATATGAACAGATGGCCGTATGATAGACAGCCCGACGTAACACGATTATTTCTTACTCCGTAGATGTTAGGTGGTGGTTCCAGTAGTAGTGTGTTGGCGGCTGCTCCACTCAAGTCAAGTGCTATTGTACCATCAAATTTAGGCTGCACGGGGTCCTCCCTGGTCCACCACGGGGGAATGACCGGATACTGGGTCTGAAGCTGCTCTCCAAATGCCTTCGGATTATTAGCTATACTGTTACGCCAAAGCATCTGACCCAGTGCCTAGATGCAACTAGTACCTCTCAGTTACTTGGTAAGGTACCCAGAGTACATATAGTAGCTAAAGAGGAACCCCAAGAAATAGAATATCACTATTACATTATGAGGTATTCGCACAGTCCAAGAACACTGACGGAATGCGCCTCAGTTACGTTGCTCTGTATCGTCGTGTACATTGCAATAAGAGAATTTATGGAACCAATGTCTGCGTCCATGAGACTTTGAAAATGGCCCGTGGTCATTACACCAGTCGGCTTTGTAGAGGCACCTGACACAAACTCTCCATGTGACTAAGTCTAGAAGATGCCAACAGACTATTAGGGTACCTTTGCGCGCCAAGGGGTTTTGCAGTGATAGTTACCATGCACAATAACTAGAACAAGAGAGCTCATTAGAATTTATTTAAGCCATAAGACTTTCAAAACTGCCTGTGATAATGTAAGACCTGTCTTGTCATGTCTCTCTGACCAGAACCAGAGGTCGCGTGCAAAGGTACCCTAGGTACCTAGGTAGGTTGTGCCTAGGGTAATTTCGAGTATCGGCAAAGCGCCGGAAATTGAATAGCCCAGGCATCTGTCATTACCCCGACTTCACCGCCTTCCTACCTGGTACAGACGTGTCAGAGAGACGCATCATGAGTTTGGAAGGCCGGGCGGATGCCTACCTACTAGGTACTAGGTAGGTACCTAGGTTAGAGCTGGTACAACTTTTTGACCTTTCTTACATATCACATTTGAGACACATTGCATGAGCACCGCATTGTATTATTTGAAAGAAGAGTGTAGGTTGCTCTTCAGCCTTTCATAACCAAGTCGTACCTTGCTGTGATCTCCAACGGCACAATGTGTTGATCAGGGACATTGACTACTACCACATTCTTTGGCACAAGATCCTTTTCAACCATCCGTTTCCAACCACATTTGGCATCCTAAGACAGTCTAGGGGAGACTTTCTCATAAAATAATGGCCAGGTTGCAGGCGCCTCTGGGAGGGCATCCCGAGGCTAGCACAACAATGTCCGAGCAGATGGATGTCGGAAATAACATCCTGCCGGCAAAGGGCTCTAATTCACTCGCAACGAAGATTACAGCTGTCCTTTCTACATCGTTTTCTGATACGGAGTTTCGTGAAGCCCTCACCCTGATTGACCAGCAAGGATTTGCAAATGATGCGAGAAATCGGAGACAGATCAGGATCAACCTTCAAAAAGAAGTTATAGACAGCAATGGGACCATAATTGACAACTTTGGCCGAGTTTCAGAGGTAAGTTTCCTCCCAGCCATTACACGATTCATACATTGACCGATTGCAATAAATGAAGCAATTGCATCGCGTTAGGCTCATACTCGAAAAACTGAAGGCGGAGTATGAGGGCATCAAGACTCAGGTAGCCCTAGCTCAATCAGAAACGTCACCTACTCTCCGCGAAGCCGCATCTCTATTAGAAAAACGTGAAGAAGTTTTCACAAAGCAGCGCGTCCTATCAGCATTTAAGGAATATTTTCTTCTGACTGAACCAGAGCTTGTGGCATTGACATCAACCGCCGAGCCCGTCGACGAGCGGTTTTTCGACGCCCTGTCCAAGGCAAGGAAAATTAGTAAGGATTGCGAGATCCTACTTGGGCTTCAGGAGCAGACACTTGGTTTAGATTTGATGGAGCAAACATCTAAACATCTCAATTTCGGGTTTCAAAAATTATACAAATGGACTCAAAGAGGGTTCAAGACACTGGACCTTGAGAATCCACATATGAACACATCTATTCGACAAGCTCTCAGAGTCTTGGCAGAGCGGCCATCTCTTTTTCAAAACTGCCTTAATTTCTTCGCAGAAGCCAGAGAGCGCATCCTTTCAGAAGCGTTCCACACCGCTCTGACCGGCACAACTTCGTCCGGTATTGATGATGCTTCTGTCAAACCGATTGACGCTGCAGCGCATGACATGTTGCGTTACGTGGGAGACATGTTAGCATGGGTGCACTCAGCTACCGTAAGCGAGCGTGAAGCTCTCGAGATCCTATTTATCTCTGAGGGCGAAGAGCTTGCTAAGGGTCTAAGAGAAGGAAGGGATGCCGAGGTTTGGCGCCTTGTCGCAGATGATGAGGGAAAAGATAGCGAGTTCAATGCTCTTGCGGCTCTCAATGACCTAGTCGACAGAGACGTCGCTGGAGTCACGAGGCTGGTTCGCCAGCGCGTCGAGCAGGTAGTTCAAGCGAACGAGGAGATTTTACCGGCATACAAACTTGCAACCCTCCTTGGCTTTTACGGTCTGACGTTTGAAAAGCTGCTCGGATCAGCTTCGTTTCTTTCCGAGTGTATCCACAGCTTAGAGATGCAGGCGTTTCGGCAGTTCCGATCCTTGCTCAAAGATAATATCGCCATCATGCAGACGAACTCTGAAAACATCCCTGTGGATCTTGCGCCGCCTTTGTTCTTCAGTCGTGCGTTAGATCAGCTCGATGCCATTATGCATACTTACGACTCATCACTATCGTCGACTGACTTTCGTGGAAACGAGGTTGAAAGTGTGCTTGCGGACGCCCTCGAGCCATTCATATCTGCATGTGATATCATGGCGAAGTCGATGAAACCGCTGAAGGCGGCAATCTTTACTGTCAATTTCAATCTTGCTGCCTACAAATGTCTTGCCAAGTTCGATTTCGCAAAGGAACGAGCAGAAGATATTCGCATCAATATCCGAGAAGCATCAACAAGGATTGTACAAAGTCAATACGAGTTCTTCCGTGGTCAATCTGGTTTAGAATCTTTGTTCAATAACATTAATGATTCTCAGGATGCGGGCGGCTCTTGTCTAGACCGCGACATACTGACCAAAGCCAGTCAGCAACTGGACGAGTTTCTACCGTCCGCCCTAATGGATGCTATCGATAGGGTCAAGTGTGTGCAAGACACGATATTGGCCCACCAAATGACTGAGGAAGCCGCAGATTTATTCTGCAAGGATTTTGAGAAACTCGAGCTGGAGATCGACAAGAAGGATTCCAACATAGCGGTCAATGACGCGGGCTCTTTGCGATCACGATTTCCTCGTACATCTGCAGAAATACGCGTTTTACTATCCTGAAAGCAATCGACTATGTCGTTCTGCGGACGTACTTCTTTATAATGGTAAGTTAAAGGCGGACACAGCCCTCTGTTGGAATATCATGGCCCTTCAGTAGTATGGTATCATATCCTTAAGCTTAGCCGCCTGATTAAACCATTACATCCCAACATGTAGATTTGCGCTTGCCTCTGGTACTTGCATTGGTTCAGACGTTCGTAATGCATACAACCTCACAGAATGGTAAAAAATCAAATTTCACACCAGCTACATTGGGAGTTTGATTGCGCCTAATCAGCCTTGCAGTTCCAAAGCATCCAACTTTGAAAGATTTGTTATGCCCGCATCTTCTTGTGCCCAAGATGGCCCGCATCCGAGAATGTGGATCCTGGGTGAGTACTTCGTATCCCATCTTTTGAGATTGTCGAGGGGTAGTCCAGCTTGACATGCTCAACACTCCAAACTCTGCCTTACGTCACTGGAACCACAGCCCCGATCTTGGATCGTTGCTGGCACGGAGGCTATGCTAGCGTCAACAACCAAAGGCTCTGCCCAAACCACACCCGTTTCTTGTCCAGTGCCCAAAACACAGCATTTCTTCACATTCCCTATTAACCTTCAACGACAGCGATACCAGCAGTTCCCGAGACCATATCGCTCGCATCAGAGCAACTAACGAAGAAGGCCGTTGATATCTCCACTAATCTCGTCTTGTGAAGGCAACAAACGTAGCCAAAGCCCTGGGTCGGCAGAGCCTTCACTCCCTAGGCTAGCATGCCATCAAATCCGGTGCCATGTTGAGAAATAAGGTCTTCACGGCGCTCCAGAAGACTTATGACGACAGCTATCTAAGTTGCTCGACAGCTGTCTACTATGAGAGCCAGGTGCGTCACCCGAGTTTTCCATTGCGCATCCGCCATAAATGTCAGCCCAGGTCCGTATTCAATCAGCTAACAAGAATTTATCACCAGGGTGACGAGCTGGAGGCAATGCGCCATTGGAGGCATGCACTCGAGCAAATTTACGAACACCGAGCTACCAAGTCCGTTCCAGGCTACGGGCCTCAAACGGATACTGAAAAGGCATTAGTGGAAGCATTAAACCAATTGGAGCTGCAATGCAAAGAAAGGATTGATCTCCTAGAAGCTCTACGTGTTTCTCGTCAAGAAGGCTTGCCTCTGCCACCAGCCACTGGTACTTCCAAGGCTTCGACATCCTGCGAAGACAGAAATATGAACCGTCCAAAAGGCTCCATTGGACAAGGCACCATTCCTGCCGTAACATACTCGGAACTATCTCGACCCACACTTCCTAGCCGACCGTCCTTACCTCCTCGAACATCGTCGGAACAAGCGACTACTTCAATGTCAAATGGAGGCAACCAGAATGTGGAAGCAAATTTCCGCCTTGGCGCGAATTCAAGGTCATTGTCACCAAGTCTCCCCGGTAGGACGGATAAAACGTCGCGTTCCAGTAGCCCAGAGAAACATACTATGAGAACAACCCTCCGTTCTGGTAGGACGAATGACAAACCCAGCAAACCGGTTCGACATTCGCCAAAACCCGCAGCAGAGGGACCAAGTAAAGCAGCGACATTGGCATGGAGTGCCCTCGGATCGCGAGAACGACCCTACAAAATACCCGCTTCTGATGGCCCTTCATCGACCCCTCGTTTAACTGCTCGGGCCGCTTCAGATCAGACAAAGCCTGTATCATCATCACCTTTGCAATGGGACAGTCATTCCAGACGACTGGTGACACAGCGAGATGCGGAAAGTTGTCCCAACGGATTGCTATCCATTGGTGCATCTAGACATTCTGAGGAGTATCCACGGTCTAAGTCCTCCCTGCTATCCGTTTCCGCCGCCTCCAGCGCTCTGAACGCCTCATCATGTCAAGAGACACCCTTTTCAGATTCAACAGTGAACAAATCAGAACGTATTTCGCCCGCACGTACGGTTGCAACCATGGGTCAATTCGCAAGAATCTCGAGGAGCGAGCAGGCTCCCAACCCACCTCCCGCTGATGACCCAGAAGAGACCGCAGAGAAAAGGAACTTCTCCGACAGTGCAATAAGACGCAAAGAAGTGGTCAAGAGACGAGTTCAGCCGTCTTACCCAACGTCCAGAAACAGTGTCCTGAGTCGTGGGAACGTATCTCGTCAAGATAAGCGACAAGCAAAGGACGACGGCTCAAGCGATTCCGATAGCCCTACAACCGAATCGCTCTCCAAGCCTGGAAGGACCAAGCGAAAAGGCCCCCTGGTAATTCATAGTGCACAGTCACGATCATCTGAGGATATCGATTCGGACGATGACTCCACGGCGAAGGCATGGGAAAAGAAGAAGACCGCCATTCTTAAGCATCTGCCATCTGGTATTGATGAAGGAGCGGCGAAGCAAATTCTTAGCGATATTGTCGTGCAAGGAGACGAGGTACATTGGGAAGATATTGCTGGGCTAGAAATTGCAAAAAATGCTCTTAGAGAAACAGTTGTCTACCCGTTTCTTCGACCAGATTTGTTTATGGGACTACGCGAGCCGGCCAGGGGTATGCTTTTATTTGGACCTCCGGGGACAGGAAAGACTATGCTAGCACGAGCCGTGGCCACCGAGTCGAAATCCACATTTTTTTCTATCTCCGCCAGCAGCTTGACAAGCAAATACCTCGGAGAATCGGAGAAGCTAGTCCGTGCTCTGTTTGGTCTCGCAAGAGCTCTAGCGCCCAGCATTATATTCGTGGACGAGATTGATTCTCTTCTATCGCAAAGATCTGGGTCAGGAGAACATGAGGCTACAAGGCGGATCAAAACAGAGTTTCTGATACAGTGGAGCGATTTGCAACGCGCAGCTGCCGGAAGAGAAGCTACAGAAAAGGATAAAGAGCGAGGAGATGCAAACAGAGTTCTTGTCCTCGCCGCAACGAACCTTCCTTGGGCGATTGACGAAGCAGCCAGGCGTAGATTCGTTCGACGGCAGTACATTCCACTGCCAGAGCCACGGACCAGAGAAACGCAACTACGAACGCTGCTAGGACAGCAAAAGCATGGCCTTTCTGAATCAGATATAGAGATACTTGTTAGGTTGACAGACGGTAAGTTGAGTGCAATAATGCTTCCACTGTTACCTAAATCCAGTGTCCTCTTTCTGAAGGGTGGATAACTAAGACACTAGCCCATTCACCTTGTTAACTTATCATTTCAGGATTTTCGGGTTCAGATATTACTGCTTTAGCAAAGGATGCCGCAATGGGGCCACTTCGATCACTTGGTGAAGCATTACTTCACATGACTATGGATGACATTCGACCTATTCTACTTGTAGACTTTGAAGCAAGCCTAAGCACAATACGACCCAGCGTGAGCAAGGCTGGGCTGAAGGAGTATGAAGATTGGGCCAAGGAATTCGGCGAAAGAGGAGGCTAGACAAGGACTCTCAAAACTTTGAGAATGTGCACAACAAGCTGAATTTTGTATAGTCCCCAACTCAAGCCAGCCATATACTTCACGATCATTATTATCAAATGCAATGCCCAGGGTGATTGTGATCAGGAGGCAAAAGCTTCAAAAGGTCAATTCACGGAATGAAGTACAAATATTATATCTTACAAAGTCATATAGATTGGTTCCAGTCGTGTTACTGTTCCATCCGCTTTGTCAGCCCAACCCACAAATACAGTGCTTTTTGCTTGCGTATTCAATCACTCGTAATGCGTTGAACACCTGCCTCAGACCAAAGCTGATGATTTCGCGTTTCCTATCATCAGCTCCACGGTAACAAAGTCTAGGCTTAATATAGTGGAGTGCAAATATATATATATGTATGATCCATGCAGGAGCCACGTCCATAATGCTCCATTCCCAAGTACCCTCAGGCATGACCGTCAGTTTCTAAATGTTTGTCCTCGACAGCCTCCGTTCGGCTTTGGCTGCCATTTTTGTCTCTCGGTCTGCTATTCGTTCTTCTAGCGTTGGAACAGGCGGCCGCTCGTTGATAGGAGCACCAAAAGGGGCAATGATATGTTTTACAACGTGTCGTTTATGCCGAGAAGTCGGCCAGCCAGGCACAATCGACACAACATCTCCTGTTCGCAGTGACGAGTTGGGATCGTGTACAAGATAATGTTTCGGATCAGGGAACCACTAAAGTAACTACAGTTAGCCCAATATTGAAGGACGAGATGGACAACAGGGTAGCTTCTCGAAGCTAAGAACCACAATAAGCCACAATATTGAGACTTACTTTATTCACGATTTTGTTCCATTTTTGGCCGCCTACTCGGACCTTAACAGTTTTTTGCATTAAGCCGGCAGATACTACTACACCGTGGAGTTCGTGGGTCACACGGCGTGCAGCTTTCGCAACTTGAGAAGACATCCTAGCATATGGTGACGAGTATCACCCTCATGAAGTGAAGTTCTTGTCGTGTTCGACTATGTAGCCTACTTCCGGACTTCCGATGTGGCCGGCAAAATGGATTGAGGCAATCCGGATCTTTGAGGTCTGCAGTCTCCGAGTACAGAGGTTAATTAAGTGCGTCAAGTGATAAACATAAAGTAGAACTCCAAATGTTAGCAAGGGACTTTTTTGCCGCATCCCTGAGCTATCATTTGGGTCACCGCTTGCCAGATACGCCTGCTTACTCGGCGTTATTATGTAATTCCAGGCGGACCTGGTAGTTTCGGAAGCGGGGGTTGCTAGTACCTACGAGGTAGGATACCTCATGTGCAGTGGGGCAAGAGCAAAAGATTCTCGTGAAAACCCGCCATCTTTTATCTTCCACAACACACGTCCAGGAACTGATGCCTGAAAAGACTCGTGAACAGGGCTTTTTTTCTACGCAAGTGTTCAATTACACGGGACTGCATAGCTAATTTAGCTAGCTGTGAATCTATCTCACCGCTTCTCACCTCGCCAGAGTCACCACTAAACATCATGTCATCACCGGATCGCCGTACTGGGGTGAAACGACCTAGTAAGAAAAGCCCTACCTACAATGGCTTTTACCTAAGCCTCCATTTCCCTGTATACATCTTCGCCGGGCTGAAGACTAACCTTACCCTGTGTTCTGGCGAAGCAGGGACACAATCATTGCCTCCCCCGGCATTGCCTCAGTTGGTTGCGGAGCAACACACTGCCATACCACCCACGGATAAGGACACTCAGCGACTGATAGTTGTGCTATCAAATGCAAGTCTCGAAACCTATAAAGCATCCCATGGCGGTAGTAGCAGAACCGGCGTTCATCGTGAGGACAAATATTCATTGCTCAATAGCGACGAGCATATAGGCGTCATGCGGAAGATGAATCGTGATATCAGCGATGCTCGTCCGGACATCACACATCAGGTCACATCCCTCCTCTGTTAAGGATGAGTTTTTTACTCGACTGTGCTGACTGTTACTTGCAGTGTCTGTTGACTTTGCTAGATTCGCCCATCAATAAGGCCGGTAAACTGCAGATTTATATTCACACAGCAAAGGGAGTCTTGATCGAAGTGTCTCCCTCTGTGCGAATCCCGAGAACATTCAAGCGGTTTGCTGGCCTCATGGTTCAGCTGCTTCACCGTCTGTCGATCCGATCCACCAACTCGAATGAAAAGTTGCTTCGAGTGATTCAGAACCCAATCACTGACCATCTCCCCCCGAATTGCCGCAAAGTAACGCTCAGCTTTGATGCTCCGCTGGTTCGCGTCCGTGAGTATATGGAAACAATCGGATCGAAGGAGAGTATTTGTGTATTTGTCGGGGCCATGGCAAAAGGCTCGGACACCTTTGCAGACTCGATTGTGGACGAGAAGATATCTATCAGCAACTATTCACTATCAGCCAGCGTGGCGTGCAGCAAATTCTGCCATGCGGCGGAGGATGTGTGGGATGTTCTTTGAGCTTGCCAATTTTCCGCAAAAATAAAGAACAGGACTTGGCCTACGTGAAATTGTACGGTACGGCCAAGGCGACAGCCTGTATGGTCCCCCTGCAGTGATACAACATCGCCGCACGGTGTGACACGTCTGGCAGACACTTGGGTCGCCTGGGCTTGGCGCCGTCTCTTGTTTTTACAACCAAAACACGGATGCGTTCAAAAGACAGGTTCCAAGGCTCTTTCAACGTCTTGAAGGAGCAATTTACCGTTGCCTTAGCTCAGTTGGCCCTTATGGGTGACAAGATTCTACCAATATGCTCAGTATCACGCGAATTCTCCTCGATAGCGTTTGATCGAGGTCGTCATGATAGAAGGTTGATCCACGTTGTTCAGGAACCATAATATCCGCCGGGCCAAGACGGTCCTCCACAGAAAGGGATTGGGGTAGTTAATTTCAGGGCTAAGGACTTATGGTAATCCGGCTGTGCGGATTTTTGTTTGAAGCATTCTTCTTACATCGTAAGTCATCATTCTAGGATATACAATCGAAACATATTGTCATTCAAAGGCGCCTCATCGACTGCATACAAAGCATCATAAAGCCATTGATATTAGTGTGTGTGTGCATACATTTGAGACTGGTTTACGAGACAAACAAGTATTGGTGCATGTGTGCCACAGGACAATACAACTGCGGTTCCCGGCTAAAAAAAAAAAAAAAAAGAAGGCGAAGCCATGCAGAAACGACCCATGGGTCAGACCGCCTTTTCCGTCAACCAATACCATCATAACAGTCGCAGCAGCTTTCGAGTGCCCTGCATTGGACCCAGAGCCAGCACACAACACGGAGTTGATAAACGGTCACGATGGCCCAATACCTGTGTGAGCGAAGCCTGTGGGCTCCAATGGCTGTGTGGATGTCACTGTGTAACACGACACTGGACTTATCACAACAGTTGTTGTGCTGCAAGTGGTCAATCAGCGTTTCATGGTTACCACTTCGCTACACACGGTCGGCAGCTGTTAGGCCGCGATACATTAGGTACATGTAGGCACGACAGGGAAGTCATATTGCTTGAATGTGCTGCTTATTGTATGCCTAATAGCAAGTAGCACTCAGGCATAAGTCTCAGCACTCGAGCCGTCGAATTCAGCCACTCCTACCGCAGCACCTGCAGTGCAACTATGCGATGACAGTTTTCAAGTGGAGCAGCCTGTACTCCCGTTTCCTTCCTTCCTTTTTTAAGGCCCCTCTTTTGCTTTCTCTTTCCAAGCTTCGTGATACATAAGACCGTGTAGTGAGCCTCAAAGGCTATTGAGTATGGTGTTACCAGTTGTCGAAGTCTCCAACCTCCCGTCATCTTCATCGTACTTTGCAGCAATCCTCCAACCCCTTGGACTCGTATATATCAGTTCTGACAATATATCACGCTCAGCTCCCCGGTCAGTGGTGTTTGGTACACCGAAACGCCCGGTTCTTGAAATCAGGCAAGTCTTGTCGCCCGACGACGTACATCGACCAGTCCATCTTGTATTTACAGCGCCAACAAGATCTGCTGTAGCCAACTTTCATCAACGTGGTATCCAAGCGAACCCGTCACAGACACTCCCGCTACAAGGATCGACTGATCGTGATACTCTGCCCAATACTGGCTGCATGAGAGCAACCGTCATTGACATGGACGGCAACAGGATAGAAGCTGTGTATCCTGGTCAACAGTCCTTGGATGACACAGCGAAGCAGAGCACCCGTAATGGTGGGCAAACTTGGACAGGCTTGGTTGACCGCGGTTTAAAGTACGGTCAAGGTGCTTGTACGCCCGCGGTGAGCGCTCGGGTCTATTCCCAGCGTGAACCATCTGGGCGGCAGTCAAGTGAATCATCACGTCGGACAGCTGAGGAGTTCTCACGTACTTTCTCGGAAAAGGATGCACTCAACTCGCAATCTTTAGAGTCCACGAATACACAAGCTGGGGAATCACAAGGTGTATCAGGCACAATCAGCACATCTACTGTTGTTGGTACACTTCTGGGTTTAGCTGCTGGCGCTATACTCACTTACGGGATAGTTTCCAGTGACAAGCACGAAGCTACGCATGATCATGCCGACAGTTCACCAGCCTCGTCACAAAAGGTCAAATCAGGTCCAAGGTTTCCTGGAAGGAGAAATCTGGAAGATAGAAAGCCTGGTTTCTCGAGTAGAGATATGCCAGTGAAGGCGACTGCCTTCCACTATGACCTCCCGCACCGAAGTCCATGGAGTCGGCAACTGAGAGGACATGAAGCTCGGGTCATGAGAAGGCCTCCGCCGGTTCAATCATCGGATGCAGATGTAGGCCAGGTCAGGACGCAAGCTTTGCGTGACATCACAAGCATTAATCTCCCTATAGCGCCTGGGGAGAGAGGAGTTGAACGTCGACACGTTCTAGCAGATACCAACTGGAATGGAGGAGACCTGAATGATGTTTGGGTTGGTGATGCTACACCGGCGCCGATTGTTAACTGTGGCTCAACCCGTCTTTCCTTGGCCAAGCGTAATGCAGGTTCTCTGGCGATGCCATCGGTCGCATCGCGACCGTTATCGAATATTCCACGACAAGTCGTCCCATCACGAGCCCCAACAGCGGCATTCGATCCTGAGCGAGAAACATTTGTGTCCGCTAGGTCTCGCGTGTCTTCTTCGCCCGTCGACCAGACACCTCGGCATGTGAACTCCGTGCCGGCGACAGTCGAGCCCTTTAGCCGTGCCCAATGGATGCCCCCGCCCATGAGTCACGTCTCCGCCAGCCGTATTCCCTTGCCCGAGACCATCGTGAACAGTGGAGTTTCTGCGAGGGATGTCCCCTTGCCTGCCAGCGGTGTGGGAAGCAACGATAGCATAGCACCTAGCGACAGCATCAGCTGTGTGGGAATAGGGAGGAGACGCGGTGCTTAAAAGCATGGGGTTGGTGCTGGGTCTTTTTCCGGGCTAAAGTTCCAGAATGATATTTTCTCTCTCCCGTTGTCATATGCCACAGCTTGAGTGCGAACAACAGAGTACTAGCTGGCTCACTGTTGACTGTTAACTGTTCACGGGATGAAGACACCGATACTGCTTGGAGCCGCGACCCTGCTCTTAGTCATTGGATCTGGTAGTAGTAAGTAGTACGTACATAGTAGTTGCAGTTCCGATTGTCGGCCCCCCACGGTCGCCCCACCAATAGTAAATACTAGACAACTTCAACTTCCATCAGAAGCAACTCTGACCAAAAGTGCTAATTTCGGTCAAAATATACCTAGGTAGCCAAGGCGCCAGGTTATCCCAGGACATGACCAACATACCACAACAACATACATATTACCGGTAAAACACGAGCAGCTGCGAGGATACCTCCAGCCCTCTAAAGCCACCATGTCACCTCTCGCCCTGGGCGAACCTATTCCCCAGGATACAGCTCATGTGAGTTCTGCACATGGAGAGTCTGAAGCTTTACAGAAAAGACTGACACATAGCGCATAGGCTGTCAGCGTGTCACTGCCGACATGGCAATCCAATATTGGTTACGAAGAAGGTGAAAAGTGGGTTGTCGAGAAGATGGCGACTGGCTATCCCAGGTACAAGCTATATTGACTCTCCCACATGGGTCAACTGTTACTGACAAGGCAACGGCACAAGGTTCTTCATCCATAAAAGTATTCAGGCATTTGCATCAGATATCGTATCAGCCTATGGCTTAATTGACCAGCAGGCGATGCTGTTTCCAACTCGAGCAGCCGCACAGCGCTGCATTAACTTTGTCACCAACGCGGAGCCCAGCTATCTACAGAAAATCACTATTGTAGAGCTGGCTCTGGATGTGTCCAAAATTCTATCACCGTTGCTGAAGAAGCTTGCTCCAGCAGTATCTGCTATCCTGTTGCCCAAGGGAGCCTTTCCCATAGCAAAACAGTACTGGCAACACACAGGAGATGGTGTTTCAAGCCGCCGCGCTGAGTTTTGTCACAGCTTGCTGAGAGATGGTCTGCTTATTCCAACCAACCCAACTCAAATACCAAGCGAAGCATCACCACGGGCGATCCGAGGACCCAAAAGATACCAACGAGCAGGGAATAATGGTAACTCAAAGGATATGGGAAGCCACAACTACGAGGAGTCTCTGGAAAGCTCTCGTTTCTTGGAAGAAAGATTTGGAAGGAACTTAGACCTTGCATTTGTGGAACGTGCTAAATCTGCTATCCGAAGACGAATCGCCGGGTGTCTAGTACAAGACATGGATTCCTTACCTGTCATGGCTTCGAATTCACGGGGCTTGCAGAATTTACACGAGGACGATGTGTATCTATTTCCAGCGGGGATGAATGCCATCTACAATGCTCACCGGGCCCTTCTCTGTGCCAGGGGTCAAATGAAAAGCGTCAACTTTGGATTTTCATACGTCGACACGCTGAAAATTTTGCAGAAGTTTGGTCCGGGGTGTGAGTTCTTTGGCCATGCCTCATCTGCCGACCTGGACAAATTTGAGGAGCTCTTGAGAACTGGCCATCGTTTCCTGGCGCTATTTTGCGAATTTCCAGGAAATCCTCTTCTGATATGTCCAGATCTACAACGGATTCGTCGCCTAGCAGATGAATTCGACTTTGCAGTCGTTGTAGATGAAACCATTGGGACTTTCGCCAATATCAACGTTCTGCCAGCTGCCGACATTGTCGTAAGCAGCCTGACGAAGATATTTTCCGGCGATTCTAATGTGATGGGAGGGAGTGCCATATTGAACCCGAATAGCCGGTTCTACGAGCAAATTAAGAAGGCTATGAACTACGTATACGAAGACACATATTGGCCAGAGGATGCAATATTCATGGAGAGGAACAGTCGAGATTTTTTAAACAGAGTGGACCGTATAAACACAAACGCGGAAGCTATTTGTGCTACTCTGCAACAACATGCCAGCGTCAAGGACATATTCTACCCCAAGTGCAACCCGTCTAGGCATCACTACGACGAGTACAGGTTGCCAAACAGGGGATACGGAGGCCTACTGTCCATTGTCTTCCATTCTAGGCAACAAGCACAGGCCTTCTATGATTCCATGGAGATTGCGAAAGGGCCTAGCCTTGGAACTAATTTTACCCTGGGAAGCCCGTATGTACTACTTGCACACTATCAAGAGCTGGCCTGGGCTGCGCAGTTCGGGGTTGCAGAGGATTTGGTTCGTATCAGTGTAGGACTAGAAGACACTGACGTGCTTCAAAATATTTTCAACAGAGCATTGCATGCGACGGAAACAATGCCGAAGACGGAATCAGATTTCAACACCAAGTCATAGCGTGAATTTCTTCCATCATCCAAGTAAGAAAGTCAACTCTGGCAGATCAGACCGATTTTTTTTTTATACATAAATCAATTTGAAAAAAGATAAGCCCGGGGGGTATGATAGGTTTTGTCTTCATTTAACCTACTATATTACTACCTAGGTACCTAGTACTCAATCACTAGCAGGTATAGAAGTTATTTATGCGAAATAGCTCCCTGGGAATGATACCGTCAGTAGAAGAGGATCGAACTGCAGCTTCAACAGTGAACATACAAACAGACATCATCTGATGAGCGGATATCTCGCAACGGAAGTGGTTCATCCCTAGACCTTGTTGTCGCAGGATTCAACAGTAATTACAGGCATATATTAAGTACCAGGTCAATATGACAACGTCACGCTATTGCTTTAGCTACAAGACCACGCAGTCATGAGGTGTGTAGCCGGGCCCGTAATCCTCAATGCCTCGCTCTATCTCATTCGCTTTTTGTTTCTCCTTTACTTCTTTTGCGAAATATTTTTTCATGTACTTTTCCAGCACACGGTCAAGATTGTCTGGTGATACAATGGGATTAGAAATGTCTGCTGAAAAACACAACGTGGAGCAATCTTACCTGCAGACGCGTTCATGACGACATCTGCTCGACATAACGGACAATGTCTCTCGTTTCTCCGCTGAATCTTGACCACGCATCGTATACAAAACACGTGCCGACAGTCGAGTCTCACTGGACGATATGCTACAGAGAAGCACACTGGACACAAGTAGTCGTTTAATTGAGGCACAACATTGACCAACTCCTGTGACATCTGAGCGCAAATGTCTTTAGCCATATCTCTCGATAGAAAGCTCTCGGATTGTATGGCGGATCGAAATGTCTGGGACACGCCGAGTGATGTTCTTTTGTCAAACTCTACTGGGATCTTAGCAACCCTGCCTGTGTGCGATGCATACGTATTTGTATCGAGGTACCCACTCTTCAGGATTTTGACTATGGCAAGTTTGTTCAGTTCCTGGAACTGAAGGTTCTTCAACAAGCTCAAGTTGAGATTAACGAACCTCGAAAAGGCCATCTGGCTCTCCCGGAGCTTGAAGTCCCTTGCAAGATGGCCCTTTTCAACCTCGGCTTGGAACCACTGCAACTGCTTCAGAGCCATTTGACTTGACCGTGTGCCATGATCTCTTTCATGAGTACTGAAAAATACTTCGGCATCCAGGTACAGCTCGAATACGCGACGCCAACGAGCAAGGTCGCTTTTGGAGAACCGACTGGTTCGGCAGACAAATGAGACTTCCTTGCCTAGTTTCACCACCTCTGCAGTCATTTTCCCCTCCTCCTCTGTTTGAAGAGCGTCTAAGCTGTTCACGTCGCTTTGAAGCATATCGAAAAACTCGGCATCACAGACCAGGGGCACCTCAACAGTCTCATACATATTATGGTCGTTTCCGTCAGCTCGGCGGTCAGCATCGTGGGCAGGGGCTCGTACGGGACTTGTTCCTGTAGATTGCGTATCCGTATGCGTGCCTGCTAGACCCATATGATCCGGGCGTATTTCGGCAGCAACTCGCTCAAAGAAGCGCCGCGACGTGGGTGTCAGGGACGCATCTACGGCGACACCATCCTGCAAATGGACGTAGACGGTAAGTTTTGGTTGAACGAAATTGGAGCCGGTTGCAGCTGGACGTTGGTGACTGAGTTAGCAGATTTGATCATAGAACAATGTCTTCCAAAGCGAGTCGCCTTGTACCTTGACTGTGATGGATTACTTTTTAAATGGTATTGTAGTGCGACAGGAGATGTTGTGGTAGGGTCGAGTAATGCACGAAGGGTTTCGGGATCGAGGCCCAGGTCGCGTAGTTCTCGCTGCACTTTCTTGAGACATTTCTTCAGCTGACCATAGGGTATAGCTCTGGTAACCCAATGAGGGGGGAAATCTACAGCATGAGATGCAACTGTCAGTGTGACCGTGTTGCGGCAGCTGAAAATAAGATGATGGCTTGGACTCCGTCTTCAACTTTACACTGTGTGCCTAGAAGAAGTAGAAGAGGATTCAGAGCTAAAAAGAGGACCTTGAACGCACCTTGGTTAGCCAGAGTTTCTTTAAAGTCACGAGCGAACTTCATTTTGACGCGCCTTCATTGCGGACTGGCACAAAACAATCGGTCGTACCAGGGAGACTGGCGTCTGCATCACCAACTTCAGAGAGTGAGTGGGGTTGGTGTGGGAGAAATTCAGTGCTCCAAAGTAACTAACTATCTTCTGGTGGCGTCAGCGAACATTGAAGGTTTTTCGCCTGAAGAAGTCAACTGATCCTCCACGTCCTGTCTGTTTGGTCACCAGCGCCTGGTGCCGCCCACCTGGCACCTCTCTAAAATTAATGCCTGGCACTGATGACTATAGTACTTCAGTGCCTAGGCATGAGGATGATATTGATATCATTGATAACAGATAACACCAACCGCCTCCATCACCCCCCATGATTTGGGTGCCTAGATACTTGAGCATTTAGAGGCAGAGACTTCGGTGGCTCTACTAGCTACTAGGTACCTAAGTAATGAATGTATCATCTGAGTGATCACTCACTCCCCTACAACGACCCTGAGCTAACATCGCTTGCGGGACCGTCTACGGACATTGGGAACTCGTGCACTGTTTCACAACAAAATCAACAAAATCAACAAACTACTAAGTTGTAGGAGACCGACGGCCACTGCCAGGAACTAAGTGCTATTCAGAATTCGGTACGGAGCAGCGAAGCTGAAGTTGAGCCACTAAGCTCCACTTCGCTCCGGCCCACACCATTGCTCCGTCTTCTGCATCATTATTACTCACCCAGATGCTATTTGTGCCCTTGATTACGGCGCACGAACTCGATTTCCTTGTGCGGTGACGTATCTACCACAGAAGACGAGCAAAAGCTAACTCACTGTGTTCATCTACATACCACCTTCCTTGCTGCATGGCTGATTGCATTTAAAATATCCATAAAATATTTAGAGTTGCAGATCGTCGGACCTACGCATTCATTGAGTACCACACTCGCACCGGCTCTTGCACGCGTGGACTACCAAAAGCAAGCGGGCCAACAGGATCTAGCCCAGGCTTAGCTGTGATAGCACCTTACACTTAGCTATTTATTTTCACTTCAAGTTGAAATCAGGGGACGATGGGTGCCCAACAGTCTCTGCCAGGAGCCCAAAGTGAAAACTCAACCTCAAATCCCTCCAAGATCTGCTACTATGAGCTTATAGGGGTTGATACAGATTCTACAGACGCCGAGTGTGTATAATCATGATGCAGATGCTTTTGAATGATGAGATCTTATTGACTGTTTGTCAGGATTAAGAAGGCATATCGAAAGAAGGCTCTTGAGCTTCACCCTGACCGCAATCTTGATAATGTCCAAGAGGCAACGAAGAAGTTTGCGGATATCCAAGCAGCATACGAAGTTCTATCTGATCCTCAGGAGCGGGCTTGGTATGACTCACATCGCGATTCGATTCTAGCCGGCAACGACCTTGCGGGGGACGGTGTCGAACCCGCTACATTCCGTAACGTCCGCCTTACCACAACGGAAGAAATATTCAGCTTAATACGTCGGTTCAATGCCACGATACCCTTTAATGATGAGCCTACTGGATTTTTTGGTGTCTCCAGGGAAACGTTTGAACACCTAGCTCTCGAGGAGGAAACCGCGGCAGAAATTGGGCAGACAGACCATCCATACTACCCAACTTTCGGGTCCTCAGGCGATGATTACGAGACAGTTGTGAAACATTTTTATGCTTCATGGTCAGGATTTTCCACCAAAAAGTCATTTTCGTGGAAAGATAAGTATCGTTTGTCTGATGCTCCCGATCGACGTATACGTCGTCTCATGGAGAAGGAGAATAAAAAAATTCGAGACGATGCTATTCGTGAGTTCAATGATGCTGTTCGATTTTTGGTAACTTTCGTCCGCAAACGTGACCCCCGATACCTTCCAAATTCGCAGACGGACGCCGAGCGACAAAAGCAATTGCGAGATGCAGCTGCGGCACAAGCTGCTCGGTCGCGTGCTGCCAACCGACTGAAGTTCGAGTCGTATGTGGCCCCGGAGTGGTCACGGCCACAAGACGAACATGGACTGGATGACTATTTTTCTGATATCGAGGAGGATTCCGAAGTAGAGATTTTGGAATGCGTCGTCTGCAACAAATCGTTCAAAAGTGCTCAGCAATTTGAGGCTCATGAGCGCAGCAAAAAGCACGTGAAAGCTGTTCAGCACTTGGGTAAACAAATGAAGAGGGAAGGTATCGCTCTTGAACTAGACGTAGCTCCAGCTCAAGTAACAATTCAACACCCGACCATGGAATCAGTTGACCGATCTACCACTGAAGCTGGTCCTCAGGAGATTGGGCCAGCCATGTACCAACCTGCAGATGGGCTAGCCTATCAGGAAGATCAGATTGAAGTATCGGATTCATCGACTGACCAGGAGGCCGATGAATATGCTCCAAGAGATGAAGTAGAGGAGCGCTTACGCCCCTCAGGTCCTGAAGGCTGCGCCGTTGACAGCGTGGAAGACATCGCTGAGGCCCACCTGGCAGCATCGGTTCAAAGTGTCGGTCTTGATGAGGCATCAGTGTCTGCTCAGAGTAAGATTGGAAAGGCAAAAGCCAAACGACAAAAGAAAATGGCTCGACAGCTAGAAGAGAGTAGGGCGCAGGTACGTTCACCAGAACCCCATGCATTAAGTACAAATCTAAGATGATTATAGCAAAAGTGTAGTGTCTGCCACGCAGAATTCTCTTCGAGATCGAAACTATTCGATCATATTCGCCATGAAAACCATGCAGCAACAAAGTCAAAGCTAAGCAGCCAGATTCAGGGCAAAAAAAAAGGCTAAATAGATTCACCATCCCTGTGCAAGACAGACCGAAAAGGCACTAATTTTTTTCTCTTCAACTCGCCGTGATACCTCTTCTGATATTACTCGAGTCACACTGGTTCAGTAAGTTCAATATCGCCAAGTGCATTACTGTTAAGGGTCTCGAGTTCAGACCCCTTTCACGTCAAGGTATCATCCAAGCCAAGAACACGTCGCTCGATATGTCATTCATTCACTTGTGTCATGTGGAATTCCGCCGTCTTCACCATCGTCGTCGCTCAGGGGCTCTACTTCATCGATAACAGATCGCCCACTCGCGTCTCGAATTTCGTTTGCGGGATGGCAATCTGCCACGTGAATTATAGATTTGCCCTGGACATGTTTGACACATCGCTTCCACTCAACCCAATCATCCTCATTTTGAATGAGAAACCCAATCAACATACTTGGGTCCATTTCCCGAACATGGATACGTCTTAAGCGAGATGTATGGCATGAGTCCATTTCGTCAGTTGTATACCTCGCTACATCCGAATAGTAGGGTAAAGCTTTTCGGGTATGATGAGGGTCCAAGTAGAAAAGAAAATGACCTTGGGAGCCGACGAAATAATGGGACGATGAGGGGCGACCACTGCACGGACAGTCAAAATTCGTAATTAAAAAGAGGGCCACCGTGACGGAGTGAGGAGATTTTCCAACTTACCCAGCTATCCCAACCGACTGTGGCATCTGTACAGATGCTACGAGTGCCTCCCAATACACAGGCGTGATTTTATCAATGCCCAGTCTCGTTCCTACTAGGACCAGGGTTGGGTGGAAAACCTCTCCATCTGGTTTTGCAATTTTCATGAAGTTATCCTCATAAATATCCGGCCCATCGCCTGTGGAGTAGATTCGTAACTCTTGCCTGCGTAAATTAACCAGATCTCTGGACCAAGAGGAGTTAGTGAAGGTCCACAAAGAAAAGGTCGAGTGGATAATTACTGGATACAACGAGCGGTAGCAGAAGGACCAAACCACTCGCCTGGGTATTTGCTGCAGTATTTTTCCCCGTGTCGTACAAAATTGTGAACAGAATATGGTGCTCGAGGATCATCAGCAAATAATGCAAGGAGCCGTCGCTCGCGATCTGGCAGCATCCCTCGGCGCCAGTCTAATAGCCATGTCAGATGCTTTCATCAGACCAGACAAAGTTTTATAATCTTCTTACCTCTTCCCAAATCCAAAACTGCCAAAGCATTAGCAAGCAAGCTTTGTCCAGAACGAATCATACATCCCCAGCCGCTATCCGATGTGAAGCCGCTCTGGTCCACAAGTTGGCTCCTTATTCTCATTGAGAGGGACAAAGCCGATGCTGCTTTGGGGTCCGTCGACTTCGGGATAAGCTCAAAGTTTGATCGGTAGGTCATCCAAAATCGAGAAGCAAAATCATCCAAGAAGGCCGCAGGCCATCCAGTGCCAACGGGACTTGGTTCCTCATATGCGAGAGAAGATGAAAAGCTCCCAGAGTACGAATCCAGAGGCGTTTCCACAGTGTCCGTACCCGCCGCTAATGTTTCTGTAGAGTTTTCATCCTTCGAATTCGATGAAGTATCATATTTTGTAGAAAGCGACTGGACGCTGTGGTCTTCATGCTGAATATTAATAGGCACATCTTGTGTATCCTTTGCAGACAGAGAATAAACACGGCCAAGACACCACACAGGCTGGTCTAATTGCTGATCGTTGACTGGTTCAGGGTCCCAAAACAGTTGAACAATTCGCCGGTACTTGCCGAGATCGACATTGGCAATAGCGGATTCCATGACGAATTTTCCAAGTCTTTGGTGATGATATCGAAAAGTAAAAGTTAAGAAAGGTCTAGAAAAGTTTGCGATGCTGAAAAAAACCCAAGTCAACGAGTGATAAACATACACTAGGTGCTTATGTCCTCGTCCGGGATGTCTGGTGTGCTATCACTAGATAAGTCTGGGTGAAGAATCCTCGAGGCAGAATACGTGGGGATAAACTTTGCCAATAGTTGAGGCAAAAGCCAAGTTCCACGAGACCTAACACACACAAGAGAATCAAGCTTCTTCTTTTCTAATTAGTATGCACTCTTAATGGCCTTGGAGTGTACTGGTAGCGATGAGGTCTATTGAACCCCGGACGCTCATGAATGACGGAGTTGAACCCCGACCACGATCCCACTTTTGGCAGTGTAGGATGAGGACTGTCAGTAGAAAGAATGCCCCGCGACGACAGTAGAAAGGATGACGAATAAATAATTCAGAAAGCTTGGGACTTAATGTGGGCAACTGGATTTCTTTTTGATAGAACAAACATGTGACTTGATAAGAAGGATGTTTGAGTGTATTAGCATACTGATCAAACCACATGACGTTGGTGCAAGAGGCTGCCTGCCTGTGGGGCTGACAAACGCCCCATGGACGCTCTTGCTGGCTCATCAAGGCCAAGTCCGCCACCGACGACAGGTTCCATCCACAAAGTCGTCTTGGTTGCACCAAGCACAATATCCCTGCTGCCATCTCATCTCATCTCATCTCATCTCACTACGTGGTTGCATGGTCCATTCCAGGGACTTTTGATTAGTTGTATTTTTATCTCGCTCCTAATGAGAAGGAATCTTCGACCCTTCGACAAATCGGAGCAAAATGGCCAGACCCAAAAAGAGTGGCCGACCATGGAAGGGAGGCAAAAGTGTATCAACTAAGCGCCCCGAGACTCGGTCACATTCAGGACTTCCTGAAAATAGCCATGCAATGCTAGCCATTTCAACAGGTACATCGTCACCACTCCAGCTTACAGCACTCTGTACTATGCAATTTGATTACAGGCTTAATTTAACAGAATATATCTAGCTGCAATTACGTTGGTGGAAGAAGCTCGGCAAACGTCGTTGCACGATCATGGTCTCTGGAATGAGCACGCTCAGCTTCGAAAGAATCCAGTGCATTTCGTTAGTGCTGGACGAACCGATCCACTAAAGGACTATCCGACCAAAGCAAAGTCCAGCGAATCCAATTCCAGTGACAAAGAAACCATGCTGAAACTATCGCTGGAAACTCAAAACGGGATGCGCAGTAGCGATCTCATCCTTGATGATAGCCCAACTCAAAAATGCGACAAATTTAACGAAAAGGGGTCGCAAACTTTTTATTTTGACATAACTGGGGATAAGACACCTAAACGCTCCCACTGCTCACAAGCCGTGGTGTCAAATCGGCCTTCGTATCCAGACAGCACCTCAAGCGAGGAGGTCATCTTGTTCAGAGGACGAAGGGAATGGGAAGGACAAGGGTTCAAAGCACAGGAATTGCTTCGAGAGCAAGCAGTACATCACACTACCGAATCCCCACACCAAGCCCTAAGTGCGGATGAATACTATCTCTCAACAGACTTGCAATCTTCTAGAAGTCGTAAGCGTGGAAAGAGAATGGGCCAGAAACAGGACGAAACCAGTGACGAAGATATAGTGGCTGACTATATTAACAATATGCGGGACAGTGGGGAACTAGACTGTCTCTTCGACAAAATAGGGGGCAACCAACGAGAACTTGGCGCACACGATACTGAAGTTGTGTTCAGTTGTTCTGATTCCGATGTCAAGCATAATAGACCTCAGGACACCAACAGGACAACAGGAAACCAGGCACCACAGCATGGAAGACGTTATTGTAAATCCACTGAAGGCACTTTGCGACACACAGAAGATCCAGAGGATGAAGATGCCCTTGTCGAACTCATTGCTGCACAAGACCTGAGCTCCAGTTCCGACGTTGCTGCTGAGACACAGACTCCAGAGCCTAACTTCCCCCACACTCGACCTTCAAGAAGTTATGGTGCTAACAAGCAAGAGGAATTTGATTTTATGGATTGGAGCACAGCTCATATTCGATCAAAGAAGGGTAAAGGATACCGTTCTCAAGTACCATTTAACAATGACGATTCCGACCTAGAAGTACAGTTGCAGGTGGCTTGGAAGAATGACCGGATGAGAAAAAAGGAACGTAAAAGACAACGAGAAGAACTTCGTTCACTAGGGATGCTTCGGAGAAACGCCAAGCCAGACGATCTGAGAACGAAATATCCCTCGGGAATGAGTATTGAACAAGTTGGAGAGGAGATTGAGAGGTTTCTGCGCAGCGGGGACGAAGTGTATGATTCTCTTGCCAGAACTTCCTACTACGGCAACAAGGTCAATACTAATTCGATATTTACTTCCAGGCTATCTTTTCCACCAATGGACCTCCACGCCCGGAAGTTGATTCACGAGCTTGCCAGCAAGTTCAACATAAAATCTAAATCAACTGGTAAAGCCGACCAGCGCCGCCCAACGCTGTATCGTACAGTCAGAACACTGTCGTATGCTGAACTACCATTCCAATATGCCCTAGGGCAAATCCAACGGCGCTTCCTGCCCCGACTTGATAATAAGGGTAAAAGAAATTCGAAACCATCTGCAACACGATGCCAAAACCATGGAGCGGCCAGCTATCATGAAGGAGAAGTGGTTGGTGCGTCAGCACCGGAACTCGGCGTAGATAACCGCGGAAGAGCCATGCTGGAGAGAATGGGTTGGAGTCGTGGGACCGCCCTCGGGGCTATCGACAACCAGGGTATATTGCAGCCGGTAACACAGACGATGAAGAAATCGAAGGCAGGACTGGGGTGAAGTGTCATGAATAGTCTCCCTTGCGAATGAGCGTCGCAGAAATCTCACTTGTCAGAATTCCAAGTATCATGTGCACTAATTCATTGCCTCGAGACCCTATTCTCGATGTTTATTGTACAACCGCGAACCCCATTGACCGTGAAGACATTGCCCCCATAAAGCAAAACCATCCGTAACGCATTAAGAAATCCCGAAGCTGAGGCATGTTCTGCCTGTAGGATCTCAATCATGACACCCAAATGCCACGCAAAAATAAAACAACCAGAGTTATGACCCAAAACAAGCTAATGTCAAAGCACGAAATTATTTCGTGGACGAGGAGTACTTGGTAACAGCCTTGGTACCCTCTGAAACAGCGTGCTTGGCAAGTTCACCGGGTAGGATGAGCCGAACGGACGTCTGGATCTCTCGGGAAGAAATGGTTGACTTCTTGTTATAAGCTGCCAACTTGGATGCTTCGGTAGCAACGCGTTCGAAGATATCTTGAGGTAATTAATTAGATTCAGAACATAAACCGATAGATTTGATGAATAACTAACCATTGACGAACGAGTTCAGAATGGACATGGCACGGTTAGAAATACCGGTGTCGGGGTGGACCTGCTTCAGGACTGTCGCAAAATACGGGTTAGAACACACAGCTTTCATCAAGGGAAAAGCGACATACCCTTGTAGATGTAAGAACTGTAAGTTTCCTTGCGAGTCTTGGAGCGCTTCTTCTTATCACCAGAAGCAGCGGTCTTCTTGCCGGCATCCTTTTTCTCGGGAGCCTTGCTGGCGGTAGCGGGAGCCTTGGATGCGGGCTTCTTGTCGGCGGCCTTGGGGGGCATTTTTGCGGTTTCAGAAGTGAGCAAGTTAATTTACCAAGAAAGTTCTCTTGAGAATGGTTGAGGACAAGAGTTAGACAGCGGGTGGTGATGAAAGTTGATGGCGGAGGCAGAAAGATCGGGGGGTGGGCTGGGCTTTTGTAGCTGAACGCGAAGCATTATGAGTGGGTTACTGATTGCTATGGCTGGTAGTGCATGATAGGAGGGAGCGCGCCACGGTCGCGCGTGTTTTCCCATACTTGAGTGACTGATCTTACCCACGTTGTTGGGAAAAAACCGGGGCTCTAATATGGCTGGTGCGTTGGCACGCAAAGGGCACTAGCTACACTCAAGGCACCCACTAGAAGCCAGATTGGCAGGACCACATAATTTTCATTACATAAGACAGATTTGGTGCTCTCATTGGTGCCCACTGCCGTGTCTTCACACTACCAGTGATTTTGAGCCACCATCTGCCCACTTTTGCCTTGGCCCTTATTTTTTGTTTTGTTTTTTCGTGCTTTCATGGCTAGTCCGAGCAGCCTACCAATTTTCTGATTGGCTACTACGGAAGGACAACAACTTGCCGCAGCTCATTGACGGGTTGATGGATTGGAGGAATACGTACTGGAAAGCCATCCGCACAGTAGTACTATTGCATTTGCCCTGCTTTCGCCATAAGAAATCCCGCGGTTGTACCAATCATCCTAGGTAACTTATTGGTTGATGCATGTACTTCATGAAATGAGCGATAGCATTATAGGGGATCATCATCTGATTGCAGTACGCATGCCTTAGGAGTACCACATCGGTAGCGGATTCCTGTAGACTATCGGGGCCTCGCTGCAATAAGGCTACTACTATCAGGTACCACTAGTCAAAAGAAGAAAAAAGGCTAGATCGCAACACAGAAAGATGCGCCATCACTACGATGGAAGAATGTTGAATTTCAAATTGGCATACTCCGTATACACTTGGTACATCACAATCACAGCTCGTAGGTCACGAGATGTATATGCTTTAGTGTGCACTGCGTAAAACTGGTCCCTACAACGTGCGGCAAGAATTCATTCCACCAGGCAGCGAATATACGATGGGCAACAGCAAAGCACGTAGTTCGTATCTGTAATTGGCACAGCGGCTAAACGTACGCAGCGCGTAACTATTGCCACAAGCAAAGTAGAAGCACATCCGTCACCTGAACGATGTGGATGAGGATCTTGGTCGGCTTGATTGACAATGTAACTACTCCGTACGGAGTAACTACATCGTAGCCGCCTGCGGGACAGAGTAGTGTCTACCTATAGGTACCTAGGTATCTAGGTAGGTAGGTCGTAGGTAGTAGGCATGCATGTAACAGGGTCGCCTGGTGTGGAGCCGGGGGGGGCAGCGAATTGGTTATTTCAACTTGATTGTTTTCCCTCAGCACTCCTATTTTCCGAACTAGGACTAGCGCCGTTTGGAGGTACCGTGTGCCACCAGCCTGGTGGGTGATCTAGGGATCACGTCTTGTACGCGCCAAAAAGTACTTAACCTCTACACCCCCCGCTCAACCATATTTCCGTTGTCCTGAATCTTGCAATTATCATCATCTCATCCTGCACGCCTCCGCCCTCGTCGCACTTCGTTTAACTTTACAGTCACACTTTTTTTCACCAAAACTCAATCACGTTCAAAATGACTGGCGCAGGCAAATCTGGTGGCAAGGCCTCTGGTTCCAAGAACGCTCAATCGTAAGTCTGCTCCAGGCCGCATCATTGCATTTCATTAATCTTGTTCAAGGCGTTCTTCTAAGGCTGGTCTGGCATTCCCCGTTGGTCGTGTCCACCGTCTTCTCCGAAAGGGCAACTATGCTCAGCGTGTTGGCGCTGGTGCCCCTGTTTACTTGGCTGCTGTTCTTGAGTATCTCGCTGCCGAAATTCTCGAGTTGGCCGGTAACGCTGCCCGTGACAACAAAAAGACTCGTATCATTCCCCGTCACTTGCAACTGGCTATCCGAAACGATGAGGAGTTGAATAAGTTGTTGGGTCATGTCACTATCGCCCAGGGTGGTGTTTTGCCAAATATTCACCAGAGTAAGCTGTGCAAATTCATGTTATTGTGGAGCTCCGCTAATTTGTCACAAGACCTACTACCGAAGAAGACTGGTGGCAAGAGTGGCAAGAACGCAAGTCAGGAGTTGTAAATTTGTAGTTGACTTCTGTTTTCATGCGGGTTGGTTTAGGTTGCAATGACAAAGGGGTCACGGTTCAGGGTTCACGGTTATCTGCTTTTATTACGCGCAAGGGTTGTACAATAATCCCACGGCTATGTTCATGAATGAAAACACTTTTCAAAACACGTTTGTCGTCTTGAAGTGAAAATGTGATGTGTTAGGTCTGAATAGTTGATTGAGCGGTGGTCAGAAATCATGTCGGTGCTCGCGCTTGCAATTGTGATGCCAATTTTGGGGAGTTATAATCGACTTCATACTTCGACACATGCTTCAACGTTTGTAGCCTTACCCCATGGGCCAAGCCCATGGGGAAATATTCAAATGCGGCGGTTCCATAAATTCGGTCTGGAGCTACAAGTACATATCCTCTACCTCTCGGGTCCAGCTCTTATTTATACTCGAGTGTCAGTGTCGGTTGACGGAATGGGGAGGCGCTAGCATTTATCAGTCAAAGGACTTTTCAGAGAACAATGTTCGGCAGACAAATGAGGCACTCACGATCCAGAATTGGTGAGGGTAAATTTCGCTCGTACTTAGATCCTGATCGTGTTCGTTAGCTAGCCGGTTGCGTTGTATTCGAGTCTTTCGATGCCATACCTCCAGGTGCAGTCGGTGGAATATATGGGTCAGGGTGCTTCCACGTATCAAGCAACTTCTCCGTCTCGGATAGCAAGGCCTGTATTGGTCATCAGTGTATGGCCCCAGTTGGTGGAGGTAAGTTGTTTTGGCTTACCCTTTGCTGTCTGGGATCGGTGACGTTGCGATTTGCCTCGAACAGCGATCGTATGTAAAGTGCTTGCCCGCGCCAAAGCTGGCGTTGGACTGCCCAGTCCAAAGCCAATTTCAGGGAGCGCCGGTAGAGCGAACTGCGTGTGAAGCTTTAGTGGCTCTGGTTTTTACTTTTTGAGGTACTGTCACGTTCGTGTGCTTCTGGTCTTGAGGTCTTACATGGCAGCCCGTCGTGACGACATGGCAGGTTTGTTGATTTGGCTTGTCCGTCGTCGGCGGTGCAACTCGGAGGAGTATGGGTCGTCTGCGCGGTTTGGCGTGATTATTGACTGTCAATCGACTTTTTGGGGTTATTCTTTGTGTCTTTGTGCCGGTGTAACTGCCGCAATCGTGTTGTGCCGGGATTCCTGGCGGCTTTTTGACAATGTTCCTCGAGAGCTCCGGACATGATATTCAGATAACAGGTACTAGGGGTAACGATGCTTTGCTTGCTGCCTTGTGGCCTTGTGTGGCGCATGCTCAGGTCTACGTTTGTGTGCTTGGTCCCACACTGAAATGTACTACCCTACACTGAGCGCTATCCGCTCTATCCGTCCTGCACTCAGTTGGTATTGCTAGACTCCTTGTTGCTTTCATGTGTTAATGCATCTTTCCATTTACCTATATGGCATCTGTCATGCCGACACGAGTGCGTTAATAATAAACCCAAGCGTGCTGGCGTGTTGTCTTATAAGTGCTAGATCGTAAGTAATTGTCTACCTAGTACGGAGTACCTAGGTAGGTAGGTACTGTCAACTAGTAACGGTGCGGATTACAGTGCCCCGCGCATCACTTGCTTAATTGAATGGTTGATTGGTTAGTTGATTGAACGGCACTTACACGCATACATGTCCAACACCGAAACTTCCTAGTAGTCATCGAGGCAACTAAAATATCCGTCACGTATTGTTACGCGGATTTCCTGCACCTGAAGATGCACGGTTCTAAGTCTTTGGAGATGCCGAAGATCTCGCACGCCTCATGAGTGTAACGGCCCCTGCACGCACCAAGGGGCATGTATCATCGAGTAATAGCCGCAGCCACTGCTCCGTACCCACACAGCAAAGACATGGCCGGCCATTCACCCGAACCCAATTCCTCATTTTTTTCGAAGGCTCCACAACAGCTACACCACCCATGGTTTCAATACTTCACATAACAATAGGTCATACTCGGAGAACACGGGTTCGCTCACGTTTTCACAACAATCTACTCCGTACTCAGCCACCTAGCTCACCCAGCATTGACATCGCTACCTAGTGCAATTCTCACCACCGCTCACTGCCTGCCACTCAATCAGTTACAGGAACCACAAGAAGACCGCCATAATGTTGTCCCGGAGGATAGCCACCGCTGCCCGCATGGCGCCTTTGCGCTCTATGCACCCCCTTCGCTCCAACTACCTGGCGATGCTTCCGTCTCTGATGCAAACCGTGCGAACATACTCCGATAAGGTGGTTAAAGTACCCCAAATGGCAGAATCCATATCAGAGGGAACACTGAAGCAATTCTCAAAGAGTATTGGCGACTTCGTGGAACAGGATGAAGAGATTGCGACGATCGAGACTGACAAGGTATGTGACCAACCAAACATTTGTACACTGGCACCAAGAATGCTCTAACACCCCAACAAGATCGACGTTGCTGTCAACGCCCCAGAAGCTGGGACAATCAAGGAGTTTCTTGCCAGCGAGGAAGACACCGTAACCGTTGGGCAAGACCTTGTCCGCATTGAGCTCGGCGGAGCACCGTCAGGCAGTAAAGAAGAACCCGCAGCCTCCAAAGATGAAGCAAAGAAAGCAACAGAACCAGAGCCAGTAAAGACGGAGACCAAACCGCAGCAGAGCCAGACGAGCCCGAACCCTGAACCCAAGCAAACAGAAAAGCCAGCGACAACAAAGGCAACACCCAAGGAAGCTCAGTCAGCTCAGTCAGCTCAGTCAGAACCAAGCCATCTGTCCACTGCATCAGCTTCCACAGGAAACCGAGAAGAGCGCCGAGTATGTTCCAAAAATATAAATATTGTGAACGAGTTATCCAATGCCAATATTAACGCGGACACAGGTCAAGATGAACCGTATGCGCCTTCGTATTGCCGAACGTCTCAAGCAATCACAAAACACTGCTGCCTCACTCACGACATTCAACGAGGTCGACATGTCAAACATCATGGAGTTCCGCAAGTTATACAAGGACGACGTGCTTAAAAAGACAGGCGTAAAATTGGGGTTCATGAGCGCCTTCTCCCGCGCGGCTGTTCTCGCCATGCGGGACATTCCGGCGGTCAATGCCTCCATTGAAGGTCCTAACGGCGGCGATACCATTGTCTACCGCGATTACGTGGATATCAGCGTCGCAGTGGCTACCGAGAAGGGTCTTGTGACACCGGTTGTTCGTGACGTCGAGTCGATGGATCTTATCACCATTGAAAAGGCCATAGCTGACATGGGCAAGAAGGTGAGGAGGCCCCACTCAATCATTGCAAGATGATCAGAGCACTAACGATTTCCATAACCATTCACAGGCACGCGACGGTAAGTTGACAATCGAAGATATGGCTGGTGGTACTTTTACCATCAGTAATGGCGGTGTATTTGGGTCTTTGATGGGAACGCCTATCATCAATCTTCCACAAAGTGCAGTTTTAGGTCTTCACGCGATCAAGGACCGAGCAGTGGCCGTTAATGGGAAAGTTGAGATCCGACCAATGATGTATCTGGCATTGACTTATGACCACCGCTTGCTCGATGGCAGAGAAGCTGTGCAGTTCCTTGTTAAAGTCAAGGAATACATTGAGGACCCAAGACGTATGCTTTTGTAGGCTCAATGCATGCCCCCCTTGGATGAGTAGATAGATAGGAATTAATTGTGTAGACTGTAATAATATAGAACTACTGTGTTTCCTGCATTGCAAACACGTTTCTCGGGTGAAAATTTCAATGCACTTTTATCCCAATACGCTATATAAAGGGCAATTTCTGGTAAATCATAAATTTTACGTTTTAGGAGTTTTTTTCTTCTAATTCTTGCGTCTTATTACTAAAAAAAAAAAAACAACAGCTCTTATTATTAAAATGCATTTTTATGAGCATTTTTTTTCATTGTAATAATAAAACTAATAATAAATAATCAATCAAGATGGTCAATGACTGCGCCCTGGCCTAGCTAAGTACAGTGGTAATATCCTTTTTTTCCCAGCCTAGGCCAGGGAACTACCATAAAAAAAAAGCCTAAATGCTGGTTTATATTGGAAAAAAAAAAAAAAACATAAAAAAAAAAGCCTAAATGCTGGTGGAAAAAAAAAAAACATAAAAAGCCGTTTATATTGGAAAAAAAAAAAGCCCACGTACATTTTAATTTCACCCTAAAGAAAACCCACTAATAAATACGCACTATAATAAAAATAAAAAACCCCTGCCTAAAAAAAAAGCAGTATTATTTATCAAAAAAAAATAAAAAGACCACGATATTGGATCCCCCCTTTTTTTTCCACAAAAACACCTGAAATTAATATTTAAAGCCTCCAGGACTTGGCTTGATAAGAAAAAAAAAGGCCCCTCATTTTTTGATTCACTAGAATTGAAGTCTTAAAGTATAAGAAATTGATTCACTAGAATTGAAGTCTTAAAGTATAATATGTATCAAGTACTAAGAAACCTTTTTGGGCTGGCCTGCACGCCAAGAATGATAGTCAGCCATGTAGTCATTGAGAAAATCTTCGTTGCTGAGTTTGCTATTAGAATAATCCCATCTGACAGGAATAGCATGGCCATTGGCAGTGAAGCCGACATCATCCCCCTTCCATTCGCCAGCGCATATTCTTGCCGCGACCCTGAGCATGAGTGCAACGAGATGACTAGGGGGGCCAATCAATAAGTTGTAGGTCTTGCTCACGATAGCTCGGGGAAGGTTGCCTAATGTACCCAATCTTCCTCTTACGGGATTGAATAACTCCCTGTTGCTTTGCAACTCCACCAACGGATTAGACGGATTAAATTTCTTCTTCGGTGATCTTCTTCTGATTCCATTTGCCTGCATATCGAGCATCGAGGTACTTGTTGAGCGCTCGATTTTAATGCCGTCTAGGTCCGTTTGATCCTTGGCGTCAGACGATGAGTTCGACGCTACCTCTATGCTACGAAACTGTGCTTGTGGTCTTCGAGGTAATTTTTCGGCGGCGATATTCACGAGCAATACGTCGGAATCCAAGCTAGACGGAGCAGTGTAAAAGGACTCCAGCGATTCCTCGCTAGAAATTGTTTCAGTGGCTTCATTGTCCTGGAGAGGCAGATGCGGTGCCACAGAATTCTGCGTCAATGGATGGCCGCCACGACAGCCCAGGAAGTATCTAAGCTTAGGTCTTTGCAAATTATCTTGGCTTCCGAGTTCTTCGTGTTTTTCGAGAAATACTTCGCATCCGTCACTTCTCGCCACGTCTGTCGGTTCTACCCCAGTTGGAAGCGAAGATGTAGCTACATCCCACTGTAACCTATGACGAGTGTCCGAGTCACGTTGTCCCTGGGGTTGATGACTATCCAAATGACTATCATCAAACAGTAGATGTGGCGAGCTGTATTGAGGTCTGTACTCGTGTAGCCGTACAGCGGCATTGGAGACGGATGCCATCACAGTGTTCTTCTCTGCACTAGTGCTCGGCTCACACCAGCTCGCTTCCGTCAATGATTCGCATGATTTGAAAGAAGTGGTACAAGTCTTTTTGGCCTGTTCGTTCATGGGCGTAACGAGGGAAATCGTAGTGTCAGAGACCTGTGTTGTTGGTTGTTCACATGAAGGGATCGTAGAGTCATAATGGTGTTCAAAAACGGGCAGAATAGGTGATAATGCAGCCGCCTCACTATTTAAACCATTTTTCAGTAGCTCGCAATTGTCGCAATATGCCTTCTGGCTCCTTGCAGGTCTCCACGGCTTCAGTCTAACCTCCGGTCTTTTGGGTAGTTCGACCGTAAACGCCCGGCGGAAAGGGCATATGGTTTTCTCGAATAAGAGGACTTTTTCCAGAGCATCTTTGAATTGCCGGGCTTTATCCATTTGCTCGATATTTGATACTGGCAGCTCTATCCGCCAATAGTAAGGACGGCGAATTTGCAGTATGAATTTGCTGTTTTGTTGATCAACGCGCCAGCATTGACTCTTAGGTAGGATAGGTTGAAGAGCAGATCCACAACTTAGAAAGGCAACCGACCCGGGGGCGCGGTATACGCAAAATGCGCCTATGGATCTGTTTAGCTGTATGCATATTGCTCTGGGGATTTGCAGCTCTTACCTACTGCGATGGTTCGCTCTAGGGGGGACCACCATGCTAAATTGCCAGCATCTCCGTCCTCTGGTGCTCGAGCACTATCTCCCGCAGTATCCGATTGGCAATGGACTGAAGCAGTGAAAGAAACAATTCTGGCGTCCGGATGGCTGTAGAGTGTTTCGACAACTGTCCTTGGCGCGGACGTCGCGACGCGTTCCCTTTGCACAATGGCTGGCTCGGTTAAAACACGACGCATTGTGGCAGTCGGTCGTGGTCGCATATCTGGCTTGGGAGAGAGGGAGTCCGTTCGTAGCGCTTCTATTGGTTCTATAGTCATCTTGAAAAGCTGCTCTTATGACGTGAATCCTCGGGTGTTCGTCATTGCAAGTGTGCTGGCTAATTGTTCGTCACCGAAGCACGGCCGTTGCGGCCTCGGTAGTCTTGAAGTGCCTAGTGAATGGTAATTAATTCGCCGCTTCTCGTCGCAATTGTCTACATAAACTTAATTTACTGTATGTCGATCGCATCCGGCAAATCTTCGTGCATGGATGATGGTGTCTCCAGAGCTGAAGTCGGTTGATTGTCTTTTTGAGTACAATTTGGCTGATATAGTGACGTAGGTTAGTAGCTTGACGTACCTAGTAGGCCCCCCTTCCCCCACGGGTCCACGGCAAGCCGTAGCCGTGCACCGTGTGAATAAGACGGAGGTTTTTAGGCCAACACCAGAATGGAGTAACTGGTCGTGCTATTCGTCATTTGAAACCTGTTCACGCGCAGTCTGCAACTTGACCTCGTCACTTACGGATATATAAGCTTCTACTACTGATCTTAAAGTTCTAAACAACATTCAACCTGTCAATGGAGTCTCGGAAGGCAAGATTAATTGACAGCTTCAATCTCGATGCCTCGCATTTCGAACCCAATGCCATCTTCCGAGGGGCCCAGTTGACACTTGTTGGAGGTAAGGGCAAGGAGAGAAACGGCCAGGTCAGACTACTAATGCACTGCAAAGCCTACAGGGCATTACAGAATCCGGATCTATTCACTACCGAGTACTATAAGCAAGCCATGTACGCCGTTTTAGCTGGGCTCGGTATCCGGCTGCTGGTAGCAATTCCGGTTAGAGAGACGGTCAAGCAAAGCCACAGACAGCCCGCCTCCTAAACTAACGCACAAGGCAGATAATAGCGGCGAGGCTTGTATTATGGTTCACCTCACTGCTCTATCCCCGCGATCAAGTCTCATGGAACGATTCCGTCGTCGATTGGCTGAACTTCATGGGAGATTATGTCCTTCAGCTCCCATTCTTCCTCATGATGGTAATGCGCCATGTAGTTCCCACTCTAGACAACCTGTGAGTAGCGCTTGCGCAAATAACTGTGGCCTCAATATAATGACTCAAGGTAAACAACTAGATTCATGCAGTCCTTAAACTGGGTTGACGTGACTTATGTCCAAAAACATAAGCACGACAATCCGAGTAATCTGAGGGACCTTTATTACCCCAATCTAAAGTCTTATCAATCAGCGAAATCCCCAGCCAAAAGGAGACAGTCATTCATGAAGTTCATGTCAAAATTTGTACGCAGAGCATGCCTTTCGATTGTGGTGCTCGCTTTATCATATGCCCCTATATTTGGCCAGCTGATACTCCCTTTAGTGAGTTTCTACACATTTCACAAGTCGGTTGGACTCGGGCCTGCTTCCATCATCTTTAGCAGCGGTCTCTTTTTGCCTCGGAGGTATCTCATCATATTTTTGCAGAGCTACTACTCGTCCCGAAACTTGATGAATGAACTTCTAGAGCCTTACTTCACGCGTGTCAAGTTTTCGCGAGAAGAAAAGCGGAATTGGTTCAGAAGCCGCGAAGGCGTCTTGTTTGGGTTTGGTCTTGGGTTTTACGTGCTCAGTAGAGTGCCCCTCTTCGGAGTTCTGGTATATGGAATTGCAGAGGCCTCTACTGCATATCTTGTCACTAAGATCACCGATCCCCCACCGCCGCCCTCTGACATGAAGGATTTCGCCAGGAGTCAGCAAACCTGGCGTAACAAACACGAGTTCCTCAGTCTCAACCTTTTAAACATAGACGACATGCAGACAGGACCGGCCCTCGAGCCCAGAGAAAAGCAGGACGCGCTGTCACTCTGATGTCACGCCGCCTTGTATGAAGACTACATCCCTTCATCGTAATATAGGCTGCTCTACGTGTATGGAGGAGACCGCTGAAGCGATGTGCATGAGTACGCTCCGTGGAGCCACACCATTGGGACATATGTGGCATCAGAAATCAACTGGGAATATCTCAATCTATTATTTACAGCACTGAAAAGAAAAGCAGGCTCTTTCAGCCTTTCCCAAGCGTGCCGTTTCAGGCAATGATCCAAAGCTTTACGGAGCCTGTGATGCAAGTTGCAGCGTTGGAGATACTCGCGACGAAATTAAGGGACGATCACAGATTCAAGGTGGCGTGCACCAGTGCGAGTTGGTGATTATCAAAAAGTGAATTCGCTTGTGACGTCGTGGGGTTACGTGTCGGGAATGATATCGAAGTCATTGTGGCCGGTGTCGGTTCTATGTTGATCGACTGAGGCCCCCTGGCCTAGAAAGGTACATCCTGCGCTCAAACACCTGCGCAAAATGCTGTCTTCTTCCGGATCCGCGATTTCTGTCAATTGCGTATGCCCTGTAACCTCAGCATGTTTCCTGGCCGCTAGTTGTCCATTGCCGATCCATTCACAGCCGTCCTCGTTGCACTTCAAGACCAGTCCATCTGCGTCCGTGTAGTAGTGATTTGCATTTAGTTTCTCGACTAGCATCTTGGCCTTTACCAGCACCTCTGAGTCATCCGTGGGCCAGATCGACCTATCCATTTCTGGCGGCAAAGGAGCAACATTGTGCGGGGAATCGGAGTAGCTGAAGGCGACACGGTCATAATGAATACCGGAATACACCAAAATGCATCGATCTTGCTTTCCCTCGCCGAAGGTCATGAGATGTTGTCCCTGCGGGTGACTGAGTATTTTATTGCGGATAGCTCGACACTTGGAACTAGGCGAGAGGGTGGTATAAACATACCTGAACATCGAAAGTACATATCTGAATATCAAAGATGGTAGATAAAATACTTAGCTCGATCCCCCCTCCCCACCGATCAGGGTCCTTGATGCCACGGCAATAGTCCACAGGCGAACAGCCCAGAATTGCTTCATTATAGACATCAGGATGCTCCGTAATATACTCAGCCATCATCTGACGAAGTTTTGCTGCAGAAATCTGTTTCAGTAGAGCGCCACCAAATGCGGTAAAGAGACAGCTATTGTCACTTGGCATGACACGAAGCACTGAAGATAGTCAATATCGGGTCAAACGCAAGCGATACGAGGGAGCCTGGAACGTACATAGGCTGCCTTCCCTTTCTGGCCATGGTACTATTACATCACCGGAGCTTGTACTGGCAACGAAGGCTGTTCCAGCTTGTTTCTCATGACCAGCAGGATGGCGAGTATGACCTGAGGTTGCCAAATCTGCCTTGGTCTCGATAGGAACGATTGTAAGAGTTTCGCCATGGAGCCCCAAGTCTTTGGCTATAAGTCCTCCATGTTCTAAGTTGATGGACCGCATATTGGTGGGAGGGCCGTACTTGATGGCAAAGTTTTCGATTCGTGTCTTTGCCTTAAGTGCCTCAAAAACCATTTGAACCGTGGCGCTGTCATCGATTTCGAGAATGCCTGTCCCCAGAGGGCTTTTATATCTTGACCTCATTTCATAAACTGCAGTAGGGGCAAAGATAGTAATACTGCCACTCTGAAAGCGTGCTGCTCTCTGAAAGCGATGAACTTATTACGGGAGACCTCGGTACAACTCTCGCTAACGAAGACAGCAAGGGGCTATAGCCAAACCCTGTTAAAAAAAGAGTTGCACGATGATTCTCGTTGGAACGGTGGCCACAATTCTTATACTGTATTCATATTATCAAAGATATGCCCTGTCGTTTTATTACATTGTTAACAAAAAGATTGATTGTATCTAGCCTGACCTAGGCACCCTGTGGTCTCCACTCGATCGACCTCAGAACGGCTATTCCTTAGGCTGGATGAGTCAGCATGTGGCGTGAATGTGCCGCCTCACGCGCATTTCGCGTTTCCTCGCAAGTTTAGCCCACTGCTTCGTCAATTTACTACCTGCCGCGGCGCAAACAGCTGTGAGTGACCATTGCTTCTGATTGTTTCACGACCTAAAAACTGCGCGGTCCATCTGGCCGCGCCCCCAACCCTTGAACAAAGATGTCGCTTGTACGTGATCTCAGCCCAGACGATGCAACTGGATCAATCGAAGTCAGGGAAGTAGAACTAGATGTCGAGATGAAGGACAGCTCCAGTGGCGGACATACGGATACAGAGGGCGACGCTGTTGAAGATGGAGATCAGAATATGTTCCAGATCATACAGCAGCTGACGGCGCACCTATCTACCGTTGAGGAAGAGTAAGCTGAGAAATACAAGGCCCATGTTTGCATTTATGGTATTTTGCTAATGCGAATGAATAGTGGTGAAGAACTTGCAGCAGGCTTTCAACGTATTCCCAACCGTCGTACTCTCCCCGATTACTTCGAAGTGATTACCGATCCAATTGCATTTAGCACAATTCGAGTAGGTTGCAACATATCACTTTGGCAAACACTTTTCTCGAAAATGAGTGCTAACGTTACCAACAGAGTAAAATTCAAAAAAAACAGTACTTGACTTTTGCGGAGTTCGTCAAAGACGTTGCACAGATCTGCCACAATGCTCAAGTATACAATCGTCCATCAGCGCCAATATTTGGTGCCGCGGTTCGCCTCCGAGAAATATTCCACGAACAGCTCCAAAAGCTAGTCGCAAAGGGAGACGTAGCGCCCGATGATGCGAAACTACCTGATTTGGGTGAGCTACCTCCCGTCGAAGACTCGCCATCACTTCCATCCGAAGAAGATGAGGATGAAGAAGATGAGGATGAGTCTTCAGACGATGAAGAAGAGTCTTCAGACGACGATGAGAGACGACGGAAGCGACGCGGAGCACGCAGTCGTCGTCGTCAATCCTTCGTCGTCAGACCCAAGGAACCCGATGACGATAAAGAGGATGACGCATATAAAAAGAGAGGTCGGCCGCCTATGGTGCAAACACCGACGGAAGCGCGTATCTCTTCAATCCTCCGATCTCTTAGGAAGTTCAAGGATGATGAAGGGAATCTTCTTGTGACACCTTTTGAGAAGTTGCCGGATAAGACAACCATGCCTGATTATTACCAAAGCATCAGCAATCCCATTGCTCTGGATAACATCAAGAAGAAAGCAAAACGAAAGAAGTATCGGACTGTGGATGACCTTCTATTGGACATTGAATTGATGTTCGAGAATGCGAAACTTTATAACGAAGATGATAGCCCGGTGTATCTTGCTGCCGTGGAATTGCAGACACAATCACGTATTCTTGCGGAGCAGGAAAAAGCCAAACCAGACGATGATTTCAGGGATGAGGACGGCAAACTTCCCCTTTCTGAAATACAGCATAATGGACAGAGCTGGAAAGTCGGTAGGTTTACTCAACTTCACTCTAGCCGCAGACTAGATAATATAGACTGACCAGGCCTCATCATAGGTGATTGGGTTCATATTCGGAATCCAAATGATCTTGCTAAGCCAATTGTTGCTCAAATATTTCGGACGTGGCAAGACCGTGCGGGCCAAAAATGGATTAATGCCTGCTGGTATTATCGCCCTGAGCAAACTGTTCATCGATATGAAAAACACTTCTTCGAGCACGAGGTTGTGAAAACGGGCCAGTATCGAGATCACCAAATAAGCGAACTATTGGACCGATGCTTTGTTATGTTCGTAACCCGCTTTAATAAAGGCCGCCCAAGAGGACTGCCTTCTGACAAAGACGTCTACGTGTGCGAGTCACGTTACAACGAAGAGAGGTTCCGTTTCAATAAAATCAAGACGTGGGCGAGTTGTGTGCCCGATGAAGTACGGGATAAGGACTATGAAATGGACTTGTTTGAGGTGCCACGCCGCATGAGAAAGGTGCCCAGTCCCATCAAGCATCTTCTACGCGAGGACGCGAAGGATACCGACGATCTCCCTCGACCAACTTGGGGAAGCCCCAACGCTCCGCCCATCGTTGGTGCTGTTCATCGGCGCCCCCCTGAAGCAAATGTGAGTGGATAGTGGTGGCCCATCCCACAATGCAATCACGTTGCGCTTGGTTGGAGTAATTGATGGGTGCCTTGACCTCCGTATCTTAAACCTGTCGTCATGCAAAAATTGGGGAACAAAAATCGGTCATAGCTAACTGATCCTGCTAGGAGTCTCCTCCGCCCGAGCCAACCCCCCCTCCGCCTCTTATGCCAACTGCGAGGCATATGTCATCTGAATCTGCTACGCGTCCCTCGGCAGCATCCGTAACACCGGAAATGTCTATGGACCCTACTGTGAGACTTCCGCAAGCTGCCGGTCCAGTTCCATCCCCATCCCAAGTCAACCAGTACAGCATGCAAGCTACGGGTCATTTTCAGCCAGTAACACCCGCCGGCGTTGGCCATGTTATGCAGCAAACACCAGTACCCATCCCACAACCACCGCAGGCCGCAGTAACTCCTCAGATGTCGATTCGACCCATGCAATATCAACAGCAGCAGCAGCAACCAAACTACACGCATAATTTTGGGTCTTCATACTCTTCATCACCGGCGGCATTTACCCACCCACCGCCAATGGCTAGTCAGGCTGCGCTGCATTATAATCAACAACCCCAGCATGGGCGAATACCATTCAATGCATCTACTGGCAATGGTAGCAATCCTACCAATGTTTACAACCCTCCACGACCACCGGAGGTATACACGCTACCAGATAACATAAACGAGGCACTTCATCCCCAAATTCGGAAAGGCTTCCAACATGATAGTGCCGGCCGGGTCCTGTTTTTTGTCGGTCCACCTATGGACCGAACACGTGAGCGACTGTCTCCACAGAGTGTCGGACTAGGGCACAGCATTAAATACATCGCGGGACGTAAGGATTGGCTGGCAGAACGCGAGAGGAAGAGGAAAAAGCGTGATGAGTCCCAGGTGGCTAGGTCTGAAAACATCCTTGTTACAAGCCGCTCTTTGGCGCAATCGGAAGAAAGTGTCGCTTCTCAGGCGGCAGATGCCATCGACCAATGGTTGCAAAGGTTCACCAAGCGAGGCCTCGAGTGGCAACAAGACGCTGGATTGGAAGGCTGGGGGGACGAATGCAGAACATGAAGAAGAATATGATTTGCTTGCAGGCACCTGGTAAATGAGTGTCTGACTGGCGGTCTGAATTTTGGCTTCTTGATGCGTATAGTCTACTGTTATATTTTGTACCACACCAGGTGATGGGGAGGAAATTGAAGTAATATTTGGAACAATTGTCCTCCTTGATAATCGCCCCGGTTCTTGGACTTGATGTAGTGAAAATTTGCAGTGGGAAGTAGCATAGGCGAATAATAATGATGGCATCCTACCAGTCACCATTTGAAGTATTTTATCTGCTCGAGGCCGAGGCAATCCTGATGTGAGAGTAGAATACCCTAGAGTATATCACGGCTAGGCATGACCATCTTTCCTCGCGCGCCCTTGGTTGTTGCAGTTGTTGCCAATGTGGAAGGAAAAACACCTACCCGATATCAGAGATTAGGTAGTAGTTATGTGACTACTACAGAGCAAACCGCATGCGGATGGACCACGCCGTTCGTCTGCGGAAGTCTCGTTGAGGCGGACGACTCTTTCTGTCGCAACACCGCAGGAAGCAGGTATATATATGCACTATTTCGAGGGGGCTTCAGTGTTCATCCACGACCATACTGCTCCCATGCACTATTCTTCTCTTTTTGTAATCTCTGCAGAACTCCACCATAACCCATTCGTACACAGCCCACTGTACTGCATTGACAACGAAGGCACGGATGCTGCAAACAGTCAAGCCGCGGAAGAATACAGACAGACCTCCTTCCCTAGCCATGGTTCGAACAACATCTAGAGAGCCAAGCCGTTTCGTCGACTGGAAGCCCTCTGTATCAGGGCTGTGTTTGGTCGAAGCAGCTTGGGAATGTACGATTGATTGTTGAGTCTGGATTCGGGTTTTGATTGAATCCAGGGGAAATACACTTGCCCAGGTGGCGATACCTGCAAGTCCGCCGCATAGCAGGATCTTGGGGGCTTCTTGGCGTAGTGATGGAGTTTCATTCTGCATGCTTGAGGGCCAATGCCTACTAGCTAGTTCATAGGACCAGAAGTAGAACCCATATCCTATACTGTCTCTGAGTGCTGTAACCACACCACCCAAGTAGAAACCGCGAAGCCCTTGCCTCTTCCATACGTTCTGTGCAATGCACCAGCTGCTCTCAGATGATGCTGACATCTGGGCACGACATTTGACAAGCTCGGTTGGAGCACTCACCACCCACGTAGCAAGCCCACCTACTGCTCCTGCAAGCCATGTCGCGCATAGACTCTTGTCTGAGCTTGAACCGATCGCTTTTTGAAGAATACTTTCGGAACGATTGTAGGATACGAAGAGCAGGGCATTTAGTGCACCACATCCAATCACTGGAGCCGCTGTCCCCGTCACCAGAGCAGTGGTACCCTGGAGCCTCGTGCCATTGACGAGAGTATTGCCGGCTTGTAGTTGAACTTTCATGATATCGAGTGGGTTGCCGACTAGGATGCCGACTGCTCCGCTCAGGTAGCCGGCCCAAAAGTCGGTAGACATTTGAAATCTGGCAGGCCCTAGTGAACGATTCGAACAAAGATCAGCCCCGCCGATGGAGGATCATTTGTAGTTAATATTTGCAGACAGAACTTTAGCAGTTGACGATCTCTCACTGCGAACCCCAAGGCTTAGAGCTGAAGGCTGTTGTATACCGGGGCGACTTTGGAGCAGGTAAAGGACGTTGTGTTAAGAGACGGCTGAGCTGCGACAGGCGCCTGGAGCCGCCAGATACACGTCGAGCAGTAGTCGACGTAATTGCGTTCAGCACAAAAGGTCTATATTCTAATTAGAGGTGCCACGGATGGATTGCTTGCTTTCTGACCGTCAAACGTGCGGCGAGATATCAATGATCTCGAAATGCTTTCTGTGTCCGAGGTCTGAACACCCCGTGCTCACGATGCCGATGTCTGTAGGAGCGTCAGTTGGAATGTCTAATATTACCGAGTATGTCGCGAGGCAAAAGTTCTTTACGAAGTGTCCTAAGGAAAAAAAAAAAAAAAAAAAAAAAAAGAACATTAACACTCTTGCAAACTTTGCCCGGGTGTCTCCGTGATGAAGTGAAGTTCTTGCTTAGGAGGGGAGTATCTCTGATTCGCCTGCAAGGAACCCCAGAGCCGAGGTAGAATGAATGCCCCGCCCCTCTACCAGCACCGAACATGATGATCTTTCATTAAGCTGAGGCAGTTATGCACCTTTCTTGTAAATTATACGATAATTATATTCTAGATGCATGAAGTTGCGAACACGGACTATTTTTGCTTCTTTATTCCACTGGGTCTTGTCACTGATATCGGCTGGCTTCGACGCCTTGTTTCCTCCAAACTCTGAATGTGGCGCTCTGGAACACAAGGTCTATGACTCTATTCAGAACCATGGCTACTCAACTAACTCCCCTCCCAAATGTTCAACGGCTCAGTCCTCTATGTATTCGCATCCTTGGAGGGAACCCTGGTAAATTCACACTCCAGGGAACGAATACATATCTACTTGGGCGTGGGCCCCGTCGTATTCTGATCGACACAGGAGAAGGCCGACCAGCTTGGATAGCTTCTCTCAGGTCAACCCTGGCCAAGGAGAAGGCGACAGTAGATACGGTACTCGTATCTCATTGGCATCACGACCACACTGGCGGCATTGCTGATGTGCTTTCAGCAGCCCCAGAAGCGGCCATTCACAAGTATGACCCTGAACTGGGGCGCAAAGGAATTGTAGACGGCCAAAAATTCCACGTCGATGGCGTCAACTTAACCGCCGTTCACACACCAGGTCATACCAAGGACCATATGGTATTTGTGCTGGCCGAGGAGGACGCCATGTTTACAGCCGACAATGTGCTTGGGCAAGGTACCGCTGTGTTTGAGGATATGTCGGAGTATCTGCGCAGCCTTCACCAAATGCGAGAATTATTCTCCGGAAGGGCGTATCCTGGCCATGGCCCGGTCGTGGAGGATGGGCCAGGCAAAATTACCGAGTATATTGAGCACCGGCAACAAAGAGTGGACCAGGTTCTGCAAACTATGCGGGGAGATGATGATGGAATAGATGCCAGCGGTACGAAATGGTCTGCCATGGACCTTGTCAAGATCATCTATAGCGACGTTCCTGTTGCACTCCACCAGGCGGCTTGTAACGGTGTTTTGCAAATTCTTGAAAAGCTCGCCAGCGACGGCACGGTCATTAAACAGGACCGAGGCTTGTGGCAGGTGAACCGAAAAAAGTCAACACTTTGATAAGTTTCAATTGGGTTTGAAGATGGTGGTGTCATTTTCTGAAGTGTTGTTGGAATACATGATGCGGACTGGGATGCATCGCCATAGGGGTACCGAGGAGACTACTTACTCAATACATGTACAATTGTTCTGAATAGGTTGCTAACACTGGGTAGCCAGAGCTTTCATATTTGAACCCTTCTGCTTCGACAGGGACACTGGTGGTAGCGAGAGCTCCGTGCAATTCATCGTTGTAGGGCCCGCGTTTTTTGCGAGGTCTTCCAGTCTTTTCCTTCCCCCAGGAGCGCAGAACAGCAAACAAGCAGTTGATTTAAGTACCTAATATATACCTACCTAGGTAGTTAGATGACACCAGACGATATGTAGAACTAATCATCTGCCTACATACCTGGTAGTAGGTCGGTAATGGTTGGTAGGAAGACGTTTGAAATATGACGTGTGGCGGAATGGTCGAGACTCGGCCTCAGATGCCGTCTACCAAAGTACTACCCGTCAGCGACCAAGTGGGCGAGCCTCTTTTAGTTGCCAACGGGTAAGAATATTTGTGATGTAAAGGTTGCGAGCGCCACCCTAGGTTGGTAGGTGCAGCAGGTGGTGAATACCCTGAACCAAGTGTGTGTGTGTGCGTGGCTGAAAGCTCTAGAATGCAAAGTTTAACGTTGACGGCCCCGGCGCCCCGGGACCGACAGTGGGGCGTCATGTGTATTCGACAGTTGACCCCTTTGAAGTCAATCAGCGCCGTTGGGTGGTCAAATACTTATGTCCACAAACTGTACTTGATGTGAGTATGAGGTCTGGTAGGTTTTGACTCTATTCGTGTTTAAGTTCATGAGGCTCTGGCGGCTTCAATGTTGGCGGCTATGTTCTCACCCAACCACACGAGGTGCATGCACCTGCTTGTGAAAATGATTGGTGTACTACACTAAAATGACAACTTGATGAAGATTGAGGAGCGAAGAGCGAGGGACACCGGCTTGCACGGATGCACGTTATCAGCAAATGGTACAAGCAACATGCTACTCGGTCATGAGTATGAGGGGATGGCTGACGCCACCTGAAGTGCCGCTCACAGAATGACATCTGGACCCTGATTGCCTGATCAATCGGCGACACACACACTGGTAAGGCAGCTAGCGCCCGCCCACCCGTCCGACCAACCTTGGGCATTTGACTCATTCGGAGAAAACGGGCTGAGTTAAACCCCAAGAGTTTATAGAGTCGGGAGAGTTCCAAGCCTGCACATGCGTACACTTGGTCAGGTGTGGTCAGGTGTTGTGAGGTGTTGTCAGATGTTGTCATACTGGCAGGAGCCGTGCGGAAGCCCGGCTGTCCCCACCACAGTTTCCTGAACCCTACTATGTCTCCTGCATACAATACATCGAGTACTTCACTACAGCTCCGCTGACCGCAAGTCGCATCATGACAGGATTCAAGCTCGGAAGCTTCGGAGGAAGCGGATGCGATTCATTTCTTCTCCTCCTCCTATTAATGAATTAAACCCCTGTTCCTTGCCAAGCGATGTATGATTTGACCTTAGTGCTTCATTGCTATAACCGACTTCGGCGCCCACGGGAGTGAAGCTACCGTCAATGACGTTGTTTCGCTGGCGTATAAGTCGCAAGGCTACCCAAACCAGTTGACACTTCATTTCATTTCCACTCCACTACTCTGCCAGTCGCCGTTCTTGCCATGCTCTTTCGTAGGGAGTTCGGGTTGATGTTGTGAACTGCCGTCCTCTGGGGTTATTTACCGCTCTCAATCTTCGATTAGCTTTGCACAAATATCCTCAGCCTTGGCGGCTACGGCCGAATAAACGGTTCAGATACTCTCCATACGTCTAACCACGACACCCCAGCCCCTATCTCAAATTAGGTGCCGGTGTTGCACCCAGTATTTCCTCGGATTTACAGAAAAGGGGCCCTTTAAATTTTCACGTCCCACTCAGCAGACGACCCGGTAAGTCTCAGAATACGCTTTTGGGCGCATAGCTCATGATACGCTGGGCTCCCATCATCGAGGCATGTGATTGTGGCCAGAGCGAAACAACAAGAGGACAGTCGGATGAATGGAGAATAAGATTAGCACTAATTACGCGCCATTAGCAGTTGAACGGTACAAAGGAATAGCATCGCCAAATGTCACGATCCGCTGCTTCTTATTTTGCCTCCACAGGCCGTCTCGTGGTTAATGTGCTTTTCCTTGTCGGAATAGCCCATGCCCATGTGGGAATGAAACCCGAACATGACGGGAATCATACCATGGCAGTGCATGGATCTGATTATCCTCCAACGTACTTTGGAATTTCCAATGGCCGGGGTCTGATTTATGGTCACATCTCACTGATGGTAATAGGCTGGGTGTTCGTTCTGCCCATTGGTGAGTACATCATTGATAAGCCCCTTTCACTCCCTGGAGTCGCCTGGGACAAAAGGCCGGGACACGAGTTTCGTTCTGCAGAGCCTTCTCAAATGCACCGTGCTAATTCTTGTGCAATCACTTAGCCGTCATGCTCTCCATCGCGCATTCTCAGGTAACTCTAGCCGTACAGTTTGCCTTTCTCGCCGTTAATGCGTTTGGCGTCTTGTTGGGCGTCATGTACAACTCCCGAACTGAAGATTTGTACCCAAACAATTCCCATCAAAAAATTGGCTGGATTATCACGGCCGTCATGTCTGCGCAGGTCTTGATACACCTGGTCGGGCGACAAGTAGGTGCTATGGCGGGACGAAGATGCAGCAGTTCAGGTGGACGCAGTTCTGTCTCTCATACGAATTACTGGCAACGGGTACCCATGCAGTACCAGGATAGAGAACATCGCTTGTCAAACGATAGTGGCCAAGGGACGGAACCTGGAACAGAGTCGCTTCGAAGCAATTCGGTTTCGACGTTGGACGGGGAAGACATGTCACTGAATGAACAACAAAAGGACTTCGAGGGCATCGAGGCTGGAGAGGATCCCCTTGAATCCGTGGAGATGCCATTCTTGTCGCAGAACTCAATACCAAGAAAAGCCATACGTGTCATCTCATCACGGATATGGGTATATCTTGACTTCGTGTACAGAATTACAGATCGGATCATTCTGCCATTTGGGTTCATCGCACTGACCACGGGTATCATAACCTTTGGGCGCTTTTTCGTAAGTATGCCTCTGGGTTTGCAAACTTGGCCTTCGAAGAGGTTCCAATCTAATGCATTCTGCGTAACATAGGAAGGAAAAGCGATATTCAGTGGCTTAGCACACTGGATCAAGGGAGGAGTGTTCCTTTGGCTTGGCCTATTTTCTTTGGGCCGCTGGTCGGGAAGTTTCGCGGACGTGGGTTGGGCGTGGAATCTCAGACCCATCAATCTTCACGAGAAACCTCGGTGTCCATCGGCAGAGTTCGTTGAGAGTGCCTTGATTTTCTTTTACGGATCTACAAACATCTTTCTAGAGCACTTGGGAAGTTGGGGTGGCGAATGGAGCTCCCAAGATCTGGAGCATTTGGCTATTACTGTGCTGTTTTTAGGAGGAGGAATGGTAAGTCTGGTGTGAAGCTTTCCACTTGTCTCAACCGATTGTGCCGCCTCAAGCACACACGGCTACTGGTTTAGGGTTCCTGCAAGTGCTTACCTTCCCTCGAGGCTGTGTGACTAACGATGTAGTAGTGCGGTATGCTTATCGAGTCGTCTACTATCAGAAGTCTCCTGAATACGACCGCAGCAGGTACAGCCCCAGAAAGTGTGCCAGACGAAGAAGCAATGGAGAAATGGAAATCCCCTGATACATACCAATTTTCCCTCAACCCCATACCGGCGCTTGTCATTCTGCTACTTGGTATCATGATGAGCTCTCATCACCAAGAGACAGAGATATCGACAATGGTACATAAACAATGGGGTGATTTGTTATTGGGGGCTTCGTTTGCTAGGGTATTGACCTACTTTCTTTTGTTCCTCCGACCGCCCAAGTCTGTCCTACCATCTCGCCCACCTACGGAGCTATTGACCTCCTTTGGCCTCATTGCGGGTGGAATCATCTTCATGGCTAGTGTAAGTGAATGATGCTAACAAACGGAAATGCTGCAAGTCATGAAAAGCTGACCAACCGGGTTCAGAGCTCGGACACTATCGACGGCATGATTCACTATAATCTGGATGCCATGTTCATGTATACAATCACAATGGGATTGGTAGGATTGTTAATGGCTTGGGAGATTTTCGTACTAGCCATTAAAGGTTGGGCAACACACAGGGAGAAGCGTGCAGGCCTGCAAGATTCGCAGAAAGCAGCACTTTGTGGGTAATCACCCAAGGGATCTGCGCCCCATAAGCTTGTTGCTCGCAAGGGATATGTAGAGCTGTCAGTATCTCTTGACATCGTTGAACGCATTTGGGATAAATTACTTTATGGATGCTGGATCCGTGTCGGAGTAGTCATTCTGGATCACGGGTTGTATTGGCGCTGACCTTGTGGAATGTTATTATGATACCCATTCTGAGCTGCAGGATATCTAACTGGTGGTTGCCTGCTAATGAATAGCGCGGCATGATTTTGGGTAAGCAGATAGAAAGCATTTAACGTAGGATGAAAAGAGTTCATATCTATCGTCAATGTTGCCAGTATTTTGAGTGATGTAGTCCGCATTCCCGTGACAGAATCAAGTCTCCTGCCAAAATATATATCATTCATTGTACCATACAAGCTTCTCAATTCAATATCACACCGGCGTGATAGGATCGGTGTGGCTAACTGCTGGTCTAATATACAACAATAAAACCGACTCCTCTCACGAAAATGTCCATCTGCGGTATATGAGGAAGATTCATGGGCAGGTAGAGCAATCCAGCCAAGTGACCCAACAGCTGGGCCGACGAGACAGGGAGACAGTGCCTGGTAGTTGTTGCAGGGGAATAAATATCAACGACGGGGCGTATCAATTGTGTGAGGTTTGCTGGGAATGATTTACAGGTGCCGTAACACTCTGGTCCTCAATCAGAAACTGTGAAGCACCCTGTCGGAGGGCATGAACCAAAAAAGACACAGATTCGGGCTTAAAGTCTTCTGCAGCCCTCAGTCTGTCAATGTCGTCTGATAATTCTTGTGTGAGCTGTTGCAGATAATAAGCCGAGAAATTCGACGCGTTTTGCTGGTGTGCTTCCTGGCCTGGCATTGTGCTTGAATCTTAATGTACGGCCGTACTGGATAACGGGAGCGAACTTCTTGGTTGGATTAGGTTAACGTGGCGTAGTAACTATTGGATATTCTCTCTGAATAATACGGTGGCAGGGCGGGAATCAGGTCGGGAAAGTAAGTGCACTGAAGACGACTATGTAAGCCTGTTGAGGTATGATGGTCGCCTTTCGCTGTCTATGCTCCGAGTATGCTATTATATCCCCTAAAAGCAGCGAAGACTACAATTATGTAGCTGCGGGGATAAGCAACCAATTGAAAGCTTGAGTTTACATGGTACCTTAATCCCTTAACACTTTATATGATATATAAGTACCCATAAAAATCTAGGTTACAAAACGCTACATTATAAACGCTATAATCTTCACTATTATTAATGTCACTTGACGTCACCAGCTGCTACCCGGGGCCCTGTGGATACTGTGACCTAGTTGTAGTCTTCGCTGCTTTTAGGGGATGGCAATGCGCATGCTTTGAAGTTGCCAGTCATAAGACAGCTCAGTCAAAGAGACTGGCCACAGCAAGTTGGCTCGGGCAATATTGGCATTCTGGGGCTGACTTACATCAGAGTTCGCGTCTGTGGGTCGGATCACGTGCCCTGTACTACTAAGATATCATGTACTATGTACTACATACGCACGTGGCAGCCTGGTCTCAAGACATTTATCGGCACAGTACTAGTCCCATCATCAATGTTTCTTAATATAATAATTACTGTCGACTTGTTCTTCCCATATAAAGGGTTTTCCCGCTTGAATTAGTTATAGAAGTACTAGAAGCCTATACTAGCTCTAGGGTAACCTATAATGATAATAATAATACTGTCGACTAGCTAGTGTGATATATACTGGAACACTGCCGAAACCTGCCCTAGACCATGCTCCTGCCTCAAAAGCAGATCCTGAATGGACTGTAGGCACATATTGACAAAGTGATTCCAGGTGCTCGTGTCTCCGTACAGGGTTGCTGGAGCCTTCACGTGTTGCTTGCCATTTGGCTTGCATCTCTTGCATTTAAACGTGTCATGCGTGTCGCTTGTGGTATTTGGTCGATACTGGAATAGCTCTCGGAGACTGTCGAGGGAGAAATGTCTTTCAACGTCTTCCGCCGAGTCAACAACGCAAGATGACAAACTTTGCTTGTGTGATTGACGTTGAAAGATCTTCTCCTCGATCGTACCAGTTGCAATGAAACGGTAAACGAAGCAGTCTTTCTTCTGGCCATCACGCCAGACTCGAGCTAATGCTTGCTGGTCGGCCGCAGGGTTCCAATCGGGATCAAAAAGTACCAGGCGGTTTGCTCCAATTAGGTTGATGCCGCATCCACCCGCCTTGCTGCTGAGCAAGAAGACAAACTCTTCGCCATTCGGGTCGTTGAAGCGATCCACAAGTTTCTGGCGCTTGTTCACGTTCATCGTGCCATCAAGTCGAAGACAACCATACTGTCGAGACCGGCATAGGCGCTCGAATAGATCTAATGTTGAGGTATAGTTACTAATGAGCACAATTTTGTCGTTGGTATCTTGCCGTATCCGAGCCAGCATTCGATCTAGCACCATCATCTTCCCCGAGTACTCAGGTCTTACGTCACGGTCTCGACCACGAGCTTCTTTCGGTGTGTATTCTGGAGGGAAACAACATTCAGACCCAGGCAGATCGTCGCTCAGATTAAGCAAATCCGGGTGATTGCATAGCTTCTTTAAAATATTGATGGCTTTCAATGGCTGACTTCCTTTCCCTCGGAGCAACGCTTGGATGTCGGGACTAGTGATGAAGTAATTATACAGGCTTGCCTGAAATGGAGAGATACTGCAAAACACCACGTGTTCGTACTTGACAGGTAAATACTTCGACAGTATATCGTTGGTCCTGCGGATAAGGAATTTGTTCACTATTCCGAGAAGCTCTGCTGTACATTCGTCTCCACGCTGGCGATCTGATTCGGAAGCATCCGCGTCTCGCCCACGAAGAATTGGGATTTCAAACCGTTTTCGGAATTCTAAACGTGATCCCAGCAAGTCTGGATTAGCAAAGCTTGTAAGGGAGAAGTACTCCGTCAGATCATTTTGAATCGGCGTTCCGGTGAGAATAACCCTTCGAGAAACATCAAGGCTATTCAGTGCGTTGAAAGTATTACTGTCGCTATTTTTGAGTCGATGACCCTCGTCACAAAAGAGCAAACCAATTTTGGTGTGCTTCAACTCTTCAACATTGAGCCTGAGGGTTTCGTATGACACAATGATAACTGGCCTGGTAACTGATCGACCAGAAGCAATGGCCCATTGTCGGAGTTGTCTTGTTAATTCTTCTTTGGAAGCTTTTCCGTCGATAGCAAACGGCGTGATGGCATTAGCACCCAGCCATTTAGTCAGCTCATTCGCCCAATTTTTGACCAAACTTGCTGGACAAACCACGATTGCTTTTTGAATTGTCGGCTTTCCCGCTTCAGGCGACTGTTTAAGTAAAGTCCACATAAGAGTTATGCATTGCAGCGTTTTCCCCAGCCCCATTTCATCGGCCATAATGCAGCCGTTTGCCTTCTCTTCAATCATTCCAGTAACACAGCGATACATGAACTTGACGCCTTCAACTTGATGTGGTCGAAGAATCTTTGCGAGCTTTGGATCTAAAACAACAGGTACCTGAGACTGTTCTTTGGTCACCTTCTTTCTGATGCCTAGAATTTCTGCTAAGCTTTTATGGACTAGTGGGGCGTCCAATTGCGGCTTCTGAATGTCTTTTATTGTGGTATTCATCTTCTCGGACTCCTGACTGTTGTCGGTCTTTCCATCAACCGTTGGGTCATATAGTACGATCGCGAACTCGCCACTTGGATCATGCAACGGCCTCGGAGAAACCACAGCGCCTTGCCTTAAGCCCAAAGTGGGAGGCGGTCTGTTTGGGTTGTATGAAGCGGCATCCTTATCCTTGAGGGGCACAGAAAATGCCTTGCGAAAAACAAGATGCTTCTCTTTCGCTCTGTAGACGGGATATTTATTGACATCCCGTGTTGCGAGAGCTAAACGATCATTGTTGGTGTAGGATTTGTCTTCCGTGGAATCACCATCTGTGCCAGAATAGTCTACCCTTCTTCGTTTCCGTGATGATCTGTCCAATGAAGAGGTCCTTGGGGAAGCTACACCAGGACATTTGAATGGTTGGTATAGTTTGCCAAGAGCACTCGAACTGGAATGGTGACGCGTTGGGGGCAATCTTTGGTCTGTCTGGCCAGAGGGGGTAGATGCTCTAAACGGCTCTGTTAATTAGAAATCATGCTCAATTCACGAATGGCAAAAAGAAATTGCTTACGTAGGCGCCATTTCTGTTTATATGCTTAATGAACGGCATGGGTGGAAATCATGAGCAGCGAGACGGAGAGGAACTGGCTACGACCGCGTTTGACGCGTTTGCCTGGTCACGACGGCACGTGACCGCGGACTTTTTAGCTTGGTATTGTCCGCCTTTCTCACGTTGCACAGAGTCATTCTAGGTGGTAGTAACTTATCCCCTAATAAATGCAGCGACACGGAATCCACAACGCTCTGCTAGCAGCCGGCAACCTCAAGTGACTTTAGTGGTAGCTTATGTTAGGCCTAATAAAGGTCCGGTTATAACGTTAACTGGTGTGTAATAGCTCTTTATAACTTAAAAGCTTATTAATACTTTTATGTAACGGTAGCTTAGGTTCTAAGGCATAGTAGGTCTATTTCTTAGGAAGTAAGTTAGGTTAAATGCTATAAAGTAGCTTTTTAATAGTATTATAATAAGGCTATTAAGAGTATAACTCTTTCGCTTAATCTACTATTTATGTTAATTGAACTTGGGCTAAGCGAGTTACTTATAGTTACATAGTTCCCTTTCTTCTTATATTATAGGGTTATAATTTAGGTAGTATATACGTTATTCTTAGTATAGTATAGTATAATTTCCCGTTTAATATCTTTAAATCGGTTCATTGTAATTTCGGTTATATTATAAGGGTTTTCTTCCCTTATTATTCTCGTGGAAACTATTCGCTTTCTTACTTACTACTAAGGTGCGTGTAGTAATTATTATCGTAATAAAAGGTCTAATTAAGGAGTTTATATTTAATTTTAGGTTCGTCTTTCTTAGT